TCGGTAGAATCTCATACCACTAGATTATCCACTAAATTTTATATTGTCACGCGATTCGTAGTTTTGTGGGTTCAACTGCTGAAGACTTGGAGTAGTAGAAAGAACATTTGCGGTCGCTCTTGATTAAACGCGCTTGGAGATTTAGCGTTCGTTCTCGGCCGTTTTGATTCAACTATTGGGCTTTTAGTTATTTAAGCCCGTTAATAATATATAACTATTGAGTATGATCCGATGATGATACAAAACCCATCAGCTAGCAACAGTCGCAAGTATATGACAGTTTTGTTGTGACCAGGGGTCGTGGACCAGTTCCAATCATTTTCGTAGTAGGAAGAATCCCGATATTTTGGGTGAAAATTATAATGTAATACATCTCGATCTCTTGAAGTGAAAGTAACATTTTGAAATTCGAAAATATCTCGTTGTCCAATGTTTCAGTCTAAAATAATCAAAGACGGTAAAGTATATCTTAGTCATTGCTTTAAAAAAATATTGTTCCAAAACAATCATAAAATTTACCCATTATCCTCGATAAAAAGGCCAAGAAAAGATTTGGCAAAATTACTAGTTAATTAGAATATATGAAACCCAACATGATAATGACCCTCTGATTGTGTTGATTGTCCTCGTCGTTGTGGTTTCGTTTTGTTTTTGATATTAAATCAATATTTTCTTGTGGACCATTTTTGTTATATAAAATATTCCTGAAAAGTTGTACACTGATGCAAGCCAGCATCACAGTCTTTTTGTGAAGATAGGACAGAAAAATAAAACTAACAAGTTGATACAAGTATTAATGATGGTCTTTCTTAATCCACCAGCTAATTAAATTGAAAAATACTCTAACAACCGCAGAAACAAATCAAAGTATTATAGTCATAGTCAACAAGACTGTTACTAAAAATCCGTAATTAAATAAGCAATTTTTTAATATTTTATTTAACATCATAAAATTAGATTAATATATTTACAAATAACTATTATCATATGTCAACAGCAATCTTGACCTGTTGCTGAGTGTATAAACAAACACGTAGAAGGAGTTAAAAATGGGTTAACACCTAATACCGGTTTTAAACTTTATAAGTTGTAACAAAACAGAAACAGACATTTGAGGGAAATGATATTTAAAATTAAAGAAGGGGTCTAACTCATATGAGTTGGATAATCAATTGTTAACTAATCAAAGTTAAATTAATTTAAACCAACCGTCTCGCTCCGCGTGATCACTACGCGCCTCCCAAAAGATTCCAAAACAAGAAATAACCTGCGGCCACTAACAGCATCCAGCGTTGCACGCGCCGCTAACACGCGCCGCCAAACAGCGCAGTGTAGTGAAAATCCAGAAAGGAGTTTTTAAATTTCTTCATCTCTCTTTCCGAACCCCAAACTACTTACTTCTCTCTCCTCCGATTCCTCCTTTGACAGTTCAGTCTTATCTCTCTTAGGATCAGAGAGAGAGGTTGCGAGTTCTCTTCCGGCGTCATTCTAGGGTTACGTCGCTTTACCTCGTCTCTGAGCATCCGGAGATTCTGTGGATTCTTGAAGTGAAAACATGGCAGCTAATAGATCCAAGTCGGAGAAGCAGCTACGGCGAGACCCTTACGAGGTTCTAGGAGTCTTGAAGAACTCTACGGATCAAGAAATTAAGAGCGCTTATCGGAAACTAGCTCTCAAGTAACATCTTTTTATTGATTCTCTTTTTCTCTTTGGTTTGAAAAGTTTCGAATTTTAGGGTTACGCTGCAAAGAAGACCCTTGAATTTCAATCTATTTAGTCCAAAAGATTAAATCTTTGATTGAATTTATCCGTAAGCCTTGGTTATTATCATAAGGTTTAGGCTAATTATCTATGGAGATTTTACTGCATTATCATTTAGTACTCTTCATGTTTAAGCCTTGTTCCTAAAATTAATGTTTGGTGTTTCAGGTACCATCCTGATAAGACTGCTAATGATCCTGTTGCGGGCGACATGTTTAAGGAGGTCACTTTTTCCTACAACATCTTGTCTGATCCTGAGAAACGCCGCCAGTATGATACTGCTGGTTTTGAGGTGAGGTTTGGTTTGGTTCTTGTCTTTCTTTGTAATCATTTGATATGATAACTACTATTAGTTGAGTTTAAGATAAGGTTCTTGTCTCCGGAAATAATGCTGTTCTTTAGAGACGTTCTTGATGTCTGAATGATACGCTTCAAAAATTACTTCGATCAGCTAATATTTGAGACTTTTGCTAATTGCAAATCCCTTCTCTTTCACAGGCCGTTGAAGCAGAAGGCCAAGAGCTGGAGCTGGATCTCTCAAGTTTAGGAGCTGTTAATACTGTCTTTGCAGCTTTGTTTAGGTTGGTTTATTTTCTTATGTGGACTTCTCTTCATTCTCTGTGGCCTTTTTTATTAAATGCAAGCTGAGTATGTGTCTCTGAAATCTTCCAACGAAATAGCAAACTTGGTGTACCGATTAAAACATCTGTGTCTGCAACTATTTTGGAGGAGGCTCTTAACGGGAGGGTTTCTGTTGATCCTCTTTTACTTGGACAAGCTGTAACTAAAAAGGTGAGCTATTGTAGCTGAAGCCTAGCTATAATCTCACTTGTATGTGTAATGAGTGTCTTATCTCCATCTAAGTGGTCTCATATGAGCTATGGTTTCTTACAGGTTGAAAAGCAATGTGCACACTTTTATGCTGTCACAGTCACAGAAGAGGAAGTAAGCTCTGGGTTGGTCTGCAGAGTAGAGTCATCTAGCAAAAGCAAATTCAAGGTTTGCTTGCCAGAGTCTTTTCCCGTTAAAACTGATATGAAATGCAAAACTATTGACACCTAACGTCTGCTTATGCTTGTGCAGTTGCTGTACTTTGATCAAGAGGCCAATAGCGGATTGAGCTTAGCCCTGCAGGTAATGTTTTACTAATTGAAGTGAAATAGTTGTCTTTTCCCAACGTGTTTTCATTATCATTGCAACGGATTTACATGTAATAATATAACAAATTTAAATACTCTTTTTTCCTCTTCTTGTAATCTCAATCCCTCATGGTACAGGAGGACAGCAGAAGAACTGGCAAGATAACATCTGCCGGAATGTACTTTCTCGGTTTTCCTGTCTACCGGTTGGACCACACCAACAATTCGGTGGATTCACTTTGTCCCTATGAGTTTCCTTCTTTCTCACACTTTTTTCAGTACGTGACTTTATTTTTTATTGCTTTAGATGGCTCAAGCAAAGGATCCAGAAACTGCCTTCTTTAAAAAGCTTGATGGATTTCAGCAATGTGAACTTACTGAGCTAAAGGCCGGCACTCATGTCTTTGCTGTCTATGGTCAGTTTTCTAGCATTACAAACTCATATCTGTTTGAGCACTTGATTAATCCAACTTGGTGGTCAACAATGACATGTTCCTTTTATCAGGTGATAACTTTTTCAAAAGCGTGAACTACACAATCCAAGTTCTTTGTGCTGCCTCTTATAGTCAAGAAAAGGAAGACCTTAGGTCTGTAGAAGCTCAGATTCTCACTAAAAGAGCAGAACTTGCAAAGTTTGAGACAGAGTACAGAGAAGTACTTGTGCAGTTCACCGATATGACCAGTAGATACGCTCATGAGATGCAATCGGTTAGTCTTCTTCTTCATTTTAAAATTCTCATACACACCCATCAACAGAAAAAGAAGACCAGATTCTATGTCTAAGTTTGGCCTTAAGCCATTGTTAAATAAGTTGATTTTCATGTGCTATTTTCACAGATCGATGAGCTTCTGAAGCAAAGAAATGAAATTCACTCAGCTTACACTACGGCTCCAGTGATAAAGCGGAGCTCGAGCAAGAACAGACTGAACAGACTGAGAAGGGGCTCGTTCAAAAAGGCAGCGGCTGAGGCGCCTGCACCAGCTGAACCGGAAGAAGAGGACGAGGAGGAAGAGGAAGAAAGCAGCAGAGAGATAAACAAGAAACCAAGTGCTTGTGATAAGTCTGAGACACTTAAGAAGAAAAGCAGATGGTACAAATTACATTTGAAATTGGACAAGAAAAAACCTTGTTAGCCATTTGTCCTCCTCTTTGCTTTCTTTTCTTGAATACAATTTTTATATTTTCTCCCTTTCCCTTAGGCATCCTTGTATCTGTAAATCATTTGATATTTTCTCCGACTTATATTCGTATTAATCAACTCTTTATTTTTGACAACGTACCATATTATTTGACAATGGCATGTACCCCTAACGGTTTGTGCTGAATGCTTATAAAATGTATGAATTTGATATGTTATCTTGATTCTATCGTTCTAACATATCTGTAAATCTTTTGCTATTTTCTCCAACTTATCATTAGAGTATTAAATTGTTAATCAACTCTTTGTTTTGACAATTATTGTTTGACAATGGCATATACCCTTGATGATTTGTCCTAGAAACGTTGTGGTTCATATCATATGTTCTATTTATTTCCATGTGAACCGGGAATCAAACGAGCAACTGATAACGTATACGAACATGATATGTTATAATATAATATGTATCACATAATATAAAAATTTGATAAAATAACATACAGAAATACAAAGAAAAACACTTCATTGACACGAAAAAGTTTCAAGAAATATTTTCTCCAACTTATCATTAGAGTATTAATCAACTCTTTGTTTTGACAATTATTATTTGACAACGGGATATACCCTTGATCATGGCTTGTACTAGTAACGTTAAGGTTCATGTCATGTTCTGTTTCATTTCCATGTGAACTAGGAATCAAACAAGCAACTGATAACATATGATGAACATGATATGTTATCATAATGTGTATCACATAATGTAAAAAGTTGATAAAATAACATACAAAAAACAAACAAAAACACCTTCATTGACACGAAAAAGTTTCAAGAAATAGCTTGGCACCATACTACGTGATTGATACAAGTTTCAGCCACGTACCATTTTGGTGATAACTACTATTATAATATAACATTTTTTTTTTGTAAACGTGCGTCTTTAAAGAGGTAACTCGTTGATAGTTTACCCCTTGTAGTCATTGTACTGGTCGCACCGTCTTCTAACGTCTCCATCCACCTCCGTCTTCACCCTCTGCTCGCTAAACTTCTCCATCGCCGTAGCAAACGCGTCGAAGAACGCCGTTTCGTTCGCCGCGTAACGATCAACGAACGGACGCGTCCTGTTATCAAGCGCAATTGCTTGGTCCGACTCAAGCAACCCGTAACCATGCTGCAAGTTCTTGTAATACATGTTATCAAACTTCCCGGGGGTAAAAACGTCATTAAACGCAGACATCTCAGCGTCCTTGGTGTAGTTCGCGCAGAGTTTCCTCAGCTCCGCGGCGTATTTCGCGTTCATCCCTTCGGGACAAAAGTCAGCGCTGTGATCGGCGCTGTTGCTGTTGAAGATGCGGCTCGCGAACTCTTTACAGTGAGAGAAACCTATCGTGTGCGATCCGACGAGAGCCACCATCTCTTGAACGTTCAAACCAGCCGACTCGAATATGGAGATGATGTGATCCATCGTCATGTTGGGGCGAGCTAGCTTTCCCTCGACACGGTCCATGTCTGAGATTAGACTGTCTTTACGACCGTATTTGACGTTGATTCTTGGACCTCCGACCATTTTAACGAGGCTACGCGTTGCTCCCACGAGGATGTCGGAACATGAAACGACGTTGGGGCATTTGAGCTCGAGGGCGGTTTTGATGCGAGTTATGAGGTCGAATGCGTCTCCAGGGAGGGAGCGGTTGATGTCGGCGTCGCGTTCTGAGGTTTTACGGGGAGTAGAAGCGACGAGGATCGAGGCGTCGCAGCCGTCTACCATGCAGTCATGGAAAAAGAGACGGAGTGTTCCTGCCGCTGTGGTTGGAGCAGCGATCTGTTTGTCGGTGACGACTTGGACAAGGGTTTGGTCGAACTCAGGGCATGTTTTGCTGTAGTAATCAGGCGAGAGATCGGCTTGAAGGAGGTACGGTAACGTAAGAAGAATAAACAGACAACGTAAACCAAAAGACTTCATGGATGAAGAGGGAAAAAAAATCAATCTTCTTTATTTTGCTTTTGAATTTAAATTCTCTTGTTGGTGGATTTTCTCGCCTTACTTTTGTTTGCTCTTTGTTGTGGTGTTTTTAGCGGTTTATCTGTAAAACCCTAATTTTAGTCTCTTGTTAGAAAAGTCAAAGGAAGGGAGAGATTCAAGGAGAAACAGCATAGGCAATTTAGCAAAATGTAAAACCCTAATTTTAGTCTCTTGTTAGAAAAGTCAAGGAGACTGGCTTAAAACCATGTTTTTGCATAGCAAAGAAAAGGAATCTCTAATACTTTTTAATAGAGATGACAATTGAGCTCTCCCATCCTGTTGTTTTCCGTACCGCAGTGGGTTCGTCGTCGAGTGGGTTACGGCGGGTCTGTCCCGTGCGGGCTGCGGTCTTCCGAATGGATATCCAATCCCGTACCGCATAACTTATAAGCCTTTACGGGCCGTCCTGCGGGACGTTTCCTTCAGCTTCCTTCATGAATGTTAAAGTAGAAAAGTTGTATAAAGAAGTTGAAGAGAACTAAACAACATCGATCGCAACAACATTCAATGTGATCACTCGCTGGTTTAATGGTCTTGAAGTAAGTGAGAGCCATTTGGACAGTGAAATTTAACTATGTCAAGAATATTCCTTGTTTGATTCTTTGTAAAGCAACGTCTCTTCATAGCAACAATAACTTAATACTAATGGTTTCTTCTTCTCTTTCAACCAAGCTGTTGAACTTAGAGTGTAAAGACAAGATTCTGCAGTAACCCAAACTCTTATTTCGAGCCGTTTAAAGAACAAACAGTAGCTCTTCAACAAATAGTAGGTCTTTAACAACATCATTGTAACAAATTTTTTTTTTTTTTTAAAACACCGCTTGACAATACTAAAAACAAAACTCATCAACTTAAACAAAATAATTCCACATAGTAATAAGGCAATTTATAGTACTGAAAACAAAACCAAACAGAAATGGGGACTTATGGTTGCGGGTCTTCAAAATCCCGCGGGTTAACCTATCCTGAATTCGGCCCGTCCCGTTTTGAGCCCGTCCTGCATTCGGCCCATCCCATTTTGAGCCTGTCCCACGAGGCCCGAAATTTTGCGGGCTTATCAAATGAAGGCCCAATCCCGCCCCGCAGTAAGCTTTTACGTGCCAGGCCCGCGGTCCAGATCTTTGATTGCCATCCCTACTTTTTAACAAACCATGTTAATTCACAATTCAGTTTCAATTTGCCACAAACAAATGTTTCATCAATTTTTGATTCTTAAAAGTTAAAACACATTCAATTTTTGTTTTTGTCACAAAAAAGAGAAAGGCATGCCAGAGAACTAAAAAGGTTACACAAGCCAGTCTCATAAGTTTTTATAGTTGTACTACTAATACTAGGCTACTAGCCATACATAAGCTCAAGTATAAATCCATAGAAAAGTTTAAACATGATTAAAAATATGCTTATTGTAACGTTTTTAAAGTAGAGGTTCTTAGCAAAATTAAAAAATTATTTTATAACTTTCAGCTTAAAAAGTTAATAATCAGTTCTTAAATAAGATATTTAAGAGCCAGTTCTTAACTTTTTAGTTAAAAATCAAAAGTTAGTTTCTTAATTCTACTAAGAATCCCTACTTCAAGAACTTTGCAATAAAGATGTTCTAAATCAAAATGTCAAAAATTGAAAACTCATTTTTTTTTGTTCATTACCGAAAACTCGTATAAGCGGAAAGGAATGGAAGAAGTGAAGACATAATGCTGAACTAGTCGTATGTATGGATGTATAGAAAATAAACGAGTAGAAATACAATGAGCCAGGGGTTAATTTTCAAAAAAAAAAAAAAAAAAATGTTTCAGAGGTTCACAACATCCATAGTATTTTGAAGTGAAGTGAAGAAATTAGTTTAATGCTAAAACTTGTTGACTAAGTTTGTTTATACATAGCTCTGAATTAGAAATATGAAAATCTTAAAACTAACTTTATTTAATAGATTAAATTATTTTCCAATATATTATTGGTAAAACGTATTGTTTTTATCAGCAAATCTATAGTTTGAAGGTTTTTACTAAATTTAGTTGGAGGGTTTTATCATTAGAAACACAAAATTTTAAAAATTATTTAAAGGTAATAATTAAAAAAATGGCACTTCAAATAATTTATGAAAAATAAATAATATTGAATGCTAGATAAGCTAAAGAAGAAAATAAACAATTATAAAAACAATGACTGAGTAAGTTCACAAGCATTTTGATGTAAGAAAAAAAACATTTGATCAGTTGAAAGCTATACAAGCACAGTAGTCTGAAGTAAAATATAAAAATCATTTCTTTTTACACTTATTTTTTTTTAGTCGATATCGAATTTGTAAAATATTTCTGTGCTTTTATTTTGATCTATTACCATGTTTCCGTTGGTATTATTACATTTTTATATTGTACATTAATATGTTTTGGACAAACGATTTTATTAAGAAAAAAATAAAATTTCAAAGTCGATAAACAGATAAACAAATTATTACGTAAAGAGTTACTAGATTTTGACCCGCGCTTGAAAGCGCGGAAATTTTATATGACTAAAAATTTATATAATTGGGTTTTGTCTTAATTTAAAGAATATATTAATATAATATCAGTTCACCAAAATTTGTGGTGATGGTTGTTTTTCATTAGTTTTTAGTTTTTAGTTTCAATTTTTATTTTCAGATTTTGGTTTTTGGTTTTTAGTTTTTAAGTTTCTACTTTTCATTTTCAGTTTTTGGTTTGGGTTTTTAATTTTTAAACCCGCTGAGTTAGTTTGAACTAATATTACCAACAAACAAATCTCAAATAATCGAACATATAATTTAAAGCTGAAAAGATGATAACAATTTTTTTAAAAAGAAATTGAAATAGTTTATTTTGTAAATAAACAAAGCAAAAAAATATAACATGTGTTTTCAGCTTTTGGTTTTGGATTTTATTTTTAGATTTGGTTTTTGGTTTTGCTTTATATTTGTTTAATCAGTAAATTATTTAAGAAAAATAAAACAATAAATTATTTAAAAGTTACCATTGAAATTTATCAAAACAAAGTGATTGTTATTTAAAATAAAAAAAATATATTAACATGTTTTAAAGTACATGATTTAAATAAATGATTAATAATAGATAATTTTGTTTTGTTATATTAAATACCTTTTGGGTCTGAAAATAATAATTGATTTTTTGATCTTTTAAGGTGAAAAGTTTATTCAATGTTTTGGAGTTTTTTCTTAATACTAAGCAAAAAAACCAAACTATATAATTTGTTCAGAAAATAAAAGTAAGCCCAAGACTATATTTCATAAATAACCACTGGTTTAATTTAAATATAATTAATAGATTTTCATATTCCATATTTTGATGATATATATTCTTTTTGAACATTCCATATTTGTAGGAGAAAATATGTGTTTTTGGTATACACATAGATACCTGCCGTATTTTGAAGGTAGTTTACATAAATGTTGTCTCTTTACATTAATTGTGTTGGTTTAATTTAAGTAATACGGTTCAATCAATTATATGACTTATATTATTTGTAACATTCTAGAAAGGGTCCAAATTTAAATGACAACTTGTATAAGTAGATAAAAATAATGACTCTATTTTAATAGAGTAGATATATGTCATAAACTCATACTGTATAATGAAAAAATGTTTAACACTTTTTTTTAACACAAACTAGGTGGCTTCCTGCACCATGTGCAGAAATAAAAGTTTTAAAAATAAATTTATATTTAAAAATAAAATTTAATTAATTTTTAAACTTCTTATTTTATTACATTATTAATTTTATATTAATTATATGTAAAATTAAGAGAAAATAAACAGTTTTATTTAAATATATGACAGGTCTCTCAAATAGAACTTTTTAGGTTTTTTTCACAAAAATAGATCTTAAAACTAAAATGACCAAAACATCAATTTTTATTTTGAAAATTTCATTTTTTTTTAAGAAAAAATTTGTAATCCTATCCTCAAAACTCCATTCCTCAACTTTAAACAAAAAAGTTTATGTTTAGTTAACCCGAAGGATATAAGTGCATATTTACTTATTTTTGATAAAACATTTAAGTCTATCTTGATCATTTTTATTTTAAGGTCTATATTTTTGATTAAAACTTTTTTTAGGTCTATCTTAATTTTTTTTAATTTATATTTAATAATATATATGTGTCTTTTATCTTTTGGTTAAATTACATTAAATCAGATTCAATACTATTAAGAGAAAATATTGTTAGATATATAATTATCAAAATATAAAACTAAATAATATTTCTAAAATTTATAGATGTTATAAATAAAGATAATGGTATTGGATTAGAAAATTTTAATTTTAAAAAATACTGCATAAAATTTTGAAGAACAAATTTATTAATAAAAAATATATAATTATAAAAATACACTTAAAAATATTTCAATATTTGTAATATTATTATATTTATATTTCTACTATTATTTATTTATTATCTTAATGATAATTTATGAGTTCTTTTTCTTATCACTATTTTAATACAATTTTTTTGTTTAATCAAACATAAAAAGTAATATAAAAAACATTTTTGTTTATTTTAAATTATATTTAAGAATATGCATGTATATATTTAAAATTATAATCTTAGATAATTTTTTATCTATTTATTTTAACTAAATATATTAAATAAATTTGTAGAAAATTTTATAATTATCAAAAATTAAAATTAGACAATATTTATTTAATGTTTAAATATATAAGAAATAAATAATTTTAGGATTAAATTTTAGTAATTTTCCAAAATATATACATTTTCGAAATTTTTAATGCCATATTGGTATATATTTATTTTAATGATGATTTATTAATTATTACCATATTTTAAAAATATTTCCAAAAATATAAATCGACAGTAAATATAATATATGAGTTGTTACCATATTCTATAAAGTTTTCCAAAAATATATATTAACATTAAATGCAATTGTCCATGTCATATTTAATCATATGTCATGTCATCAATTCTAGTAGTCATGTCATCAATTCTAGTAGTCATGTCATCATTTTTTTGTGAAACTGATTATAGAGAGGACATGTGGCAAAATCACTTCGTAAATAATGTATAGGGGATACACAATGAAAAATGTTTAACATTGTTTAAAGAAAAAAATGTTTTAAAAGTGGAAATAATTGAACTCTACATTAGTTAGGTGACACCAACGCGAAACGTGAACAATGAGTTCGACCATATACAACTAACTACTCAAAAACTCCCTTCAATTCATCCCGACACAGTTTATGTTTCTCCTCTTCCCCCTTCCACTCGAAAACAAACAGAACACCATCTCTTCTCCCTTGAGCTCCAATGGCCGAAACAAGAACAACAAAGACCAACTCCAAAGGCCACGTCTTGGTCTTACCATACCCAGTCCAAGGCCACCTAAACCCAATGGTCCAATTCGCTAAACGCCTAGTCTCCAAAGGCGCCAAAGTCACAATCGCCACCACCACCTACACCTCCTCCTCCATCTCCACCCCTTCTCTCTCTGTCGAACCAATCTCCGACGGCCACGACTTCATCCCCATAGGCCTCCCCGGTGTCAGCATCGACGCCTACTCCGAATCTTTCAAGCTCCACGGATCCGAATCCTTAACCCGAGTCATCCAAAAATACAAATCCACAGATTCACCCATCGATTCTTTAGTCTACGACTCTTTCCTCCCGTGGGGACTCGAAGTCGCGAGATCTAACTCCATCTCAGCTGCTTCTTTCTTTACTAATAATCTCACTGTTTGCTCTGTGCTTCGTAAATTCGCCTCCGGTGAGTTTACTCTCCCCGCTGTTCCCACTTCCGCGCCGTATCTCGTCCCTGGCTTGCCGGCTTTGAGCTACGACGAGCTTCCTTCCTTCGTCGGACGTCATTGGTTGAGCCACGCCGAGCACGGGAGAGTTCTTTTGAATCAGTTTCGTAATCACGAAGATGCTGATTGGTTATTCGTCAACGGCTTCGAAGGGTTAGAGACACAAGTACGAAATGGTTTTAATTAAAACACTCAGTTATGTTCGTTGATGTTATGGAATATGTGAAATTAAAAGAGTTAAAGTATTTACTAATTTTAACTTTTAGTTTATTTTCTTTTTTTTTTAGTCAATGATCGTGTTTTTATAACAATTACATCATTATATAATCTCTATTTGTTTGAAAATGTTTTGGTTTTAGGGTTGTGAAGTTGGAGAATCAGAGGCAATGAAGGCAACGTTGATCGGACCTATGATCCCATCTGCATACCTTGACGGCCGAATCAAAGACGATAAAGGCTACGGCTCCAGCCTGATGAAGCCTCTCTCGGAGGAGTGTATGGAGTGGCTAGACACTAAGCCGAGTCAATCAGTGGTTTTTGTTTCTTTTGGTTCGTTTGGGATACTCTTTGAGAAGCAACTCGCTGAGGTAGCAATGGCATTACAAGAATCGAGCTTTAACTTCTTGTGGGTGATTAAAGAAGCTCATATAGCGAAGTTACCGGAAGGGTTTGTGGAAGCGACAAAAGACAGAGCGTTGCTTGTTTCTTGGTGTAACCAGCTTGAGGTTTTAGCTCATGAATCTATAGGTTGCTTTTTGACTCACTGTGGTTGGAACTCGACGTTGGAAGGGTTGAGTTTGGGAGTTCCTATGGTTGGTGTGCCTCAGTGGAGTGATCAGATGAATGATGCTAAGTTTGTGGAAGAGGTTTGGAGAGTTGGGTATAGAGCGAAAGAGGCAGCTGGGGAAGGAGTTGTGAAGAGTGATGAGTTGGTGAGGTGTTTGAAAGGAGTGATGGAAGGAGAGAGTAGTGTGGAGATTAGAGAGAGTTCTAAGAAGTGGAAAGATTTGGCTGTGAAGGCGATGAGTGAAGGAGGGAGCTCTGATCGGAGTATTAATGAGTATGTGGAGAGTTTAAGGAAGAAACATTGAGAGGTAATGCGATTTGTAAATTGTGTGTGTTTTTGTTGTTTTAAAAGCATTGTATGGAGATGACTGTGATTCAATAATAAGTAAACCAATTGTGATAAGAGTCTCTAGTTTTCTATTCATCTGTGAAAGAATCTTCTTGTTCAAGTGCTTAGACATGTATATATAGGTTCTGCGGCAAGTGGCACTCCTGTCTGAAAGAAGATCTAGCCTTTCGAGTGTCATGATCCATCAAGAACTCATTTAGATTTTTATATCATCCTTTTACCAAAGGAAGAAACAGATCTGTTAGCCGCAGCCTACAAGGCCTTTTAATAAAGAGTCTTTAGTATCCCATATCGGGAAGCTGGGAAGATCTGTTACTGGAGATGTTAGTATGAATAAACTTCACACTCCTCACTCTGAAATCACGCAGCCATGTGGTGAGCACAAAGCGAACTATTCTTTCGCCTTTTACTAAAGAATACCGTGTGCTCTCCATGCCAAGTGGCATACGCCTATTTTTGGAGGGTTCTGCTTTCGAGTAGACCCAACATTTTTCTAGTTTATAACTTTTTCAGTCTTATGAAGCAGTAAAATGTTTTGAAGGAGCTCGAGTGTTGTGAAACAGGAAAATGTTTTTAAGGAACTTGAATGTTCCACAACGAAAAGCTAAGAAGTTTTGTATACATCAATAGATGAGTCGACTAACTCTCTTCTATAAAAAAATTAGATTAAACTACAATGGAAAGCGGCGCGACTCAGTCACAGGAATTTCACAGGCCATTTCCAAATTCAAGAAAAGGCAGTGTCATGATATAATATGATTTGTGATTCTGGGTATGGAGAAAAAATCCATTACAAATCCCCAAAGGGAAGTGAGAAGAAGAAGTCGACTTTCATTATAAGATCGTAGAAATGAAATCTGATTAAAGTTTGAATGTTGTTACTACTTGTGTTGTACTGAGATGATATGATTCGGTGAAACAGTTTTGATCAAGGTTATCTAATAATTGAATAACTAAAAATGACACACTAAAACGCTGTTTTCTTCAATACTTGATCTAAGAAAACAAATGGCTACAGAAAATCTGTTATCGTAATAATACAATAAGCCCATTTTACATACAGCCCACAAGGTCTTTTGATAAAGGAGCTTTACATATCCCACATCGGGTAGCTGAGACATCTGTTACTAGAGACTTTAGTATAAATAAACTTCACACTCTTCTGTGATTTCTCACGCAGCCATGTGGTGAGCACAAAGCGAACTATTCTTTCGCCTTTTACTAAAGAATACCGTGTGCTCTCCATGCCAAGTGGCATACGCCTATTTTTGGAGGGTTTCTGCCTTCGGGTGGACCCAACATTTTCAAGTATGAATTTTCGTTTAGTATTCGATTGAGAGTTGTTTGTAAAGCTTATGTTTGCAAATCTTATCTTTTGGATTTGCTCTCTACCAAGCCTTTAGTTTCGAGCTTTTGATTAATATAGAGAAGTCTCAACGCTGTTAAACAATGATCATAAATATGTTTGAATACTAGAATTTTGTTCCAAGCATTTAAAAGAAATAGCAACAAAGATTGTGAAAATTAGCTTCATCAAACCTTTTGTTTTGTTATCATTGTTCTTGGAAAGTTAACTCTAATCATTATTCCCTCGTGTTTTTTATATTATGTAGACTCTATATATCGGCAGAAGGGTTGTGTCATTAGCATCGATCAATGAGTTCATCTCTGTCTATAAACCGCTCCAACAGCTCTTGGTCTTTCAGAACTAAGCAATCCTCAGCTTTTCCAAACCAATTATAACGATGTTTGGCCACATAGTCATACACCGAGTCTCTCAGAGGAGTAGGAACAATGGAAAAAGCGTTCAATGCGGAGTAAGGCAGAGGCAGGTATGATACCACTTTAAGTGCAGCTGCAGTACCAAAAAAAATATACAATCAGAAGATTACTTCACAATAGGTTTGAAGGAGAAAACATGTTGATCATGAAATCCAAACATTACAGGAAAAACCATTTGACATAAGCAGTCACTACGCAAGCACTGGATAAGAACTCAAGAATGTAACATCACAAGACATAACCAGAAACCATCTAACACATCATTTAAGAGTTCTCCCTTGAGTTCTTTTCAAGATATTTAGAGTGTTCTTAATAAATAAAGCTTCTTCCTTTTAATGTAAACTATTCATATAACCTTAAACATACCATTCTAATTATAACCTTAAACCTCCTTAGCCGTTGTACCCACTATCTGATATTCCTTACTTATTTTCCTAAACATAACTAGAGCGAGTTCATCTCAGCAAAGTTCAAGTGCTCACGCAAGAAGCACAACTTACTACACTGATTCTAGTGGCTATCGGAAATACATATGTTTGCAGTAAAAGTCTCAACTGTGAAACAGGTAAAGAAGATTTTACATACCGGTTGATGCCTGATGGTATGAACCGAGACCTTCAACAAAGAGAAATCGCTTCTCACAATCCTCCTTAGTGACTCCACTCACTGTTAGATACGGTTCAGCGGCTTTAGACTGAAGGCAACAGAACTTGATCTTCCTATACTTATCCGCTTTGATTATCCACTTCACACCTACATCGAGAACAATCAGCTACCAAACCAAACCCATTGAGTAAAAATAGCTGTCAATTACTCATTCCAGTTCAAGCTAACCAATACGATTCCTAAGGCTCGAAATCAAATAGAATTGCTTAATCAATACTGATAATAGATAAACCTCTAAACAATCTCGCAAAAACGGCATCGTTCTGAGAGGTTAATAGCGAGAAACATTGTACCTCCGTGGCAAAGATGACAGACTCCGTCGTACACGACGACACGTGGCTGAAGGTGAGCTTGCATCATAATCGGAATCGCAGCCGGCGATTCGGTCGGGTCCGAGTACGCGACTGCATCATCGGCGTCGATTTCCGCCGCAGCAGCCGTCGTACGGGAAACAGCTCCGGGAGTCAACCTCGGCGACGAGGAAGAGAAAGAAAACGGTCGACGGCGGAGAGAAGCTCCGACAATAGACCTGGGTTTCAAAATCCGAAGCGCCTTCGTCAACATTCTAGAAATCCTTTGACATTTCCTTCAGAAAAACAGTTACAGGCTTTCAATGGAAGAACTGTGCTTTGCTTGAGCTCCAAGTTGGGCGGAAGGATCAAAGCAAATTAAAATGGGCTCGTCATAACATATTATTGGGCCAAACTCAGCCCAGTGAATTAAATAAGAACAGAACCGTAAGGAACAAAAAGAATCTCAGTGTGAACTTTGCAAAGTCGAGAACACATGATATTTTATTTTCTAGCTGGAGTTTCTACATTGTTTTTTTCATTCACTTTCTGTAAAAAAATCTCTATGGCACATCCTGGCTCTTCACCACTTTCTTAGTGGCTTCGTTTGTCTGCAAGAAAACAAAGACATGTTGCATGCTGAATGAATAGTGAATACTTTTTTGTTCAGGCAACTATTCAGATTTTGATGGGGTGGGGGGTGCTTAAGGACAAACCAAACTCTATCTTCGTTCACGGATAATTAAGTATAAAGTCTTCACGCCACTTCAACTTCTCCTTCTGTATATACAATGCCAGCATAGATTTTGGTTAGTTCCTCTGTATCATTTTGATCTGATATTATCAAATGTAGAGAAAAAGAGAGAGTAGTCTATCTAACCAGGAAGACGGACAGCTAAGTTTGCTTGTTCGTCCGCAGCATAGTTTAGATTCTGTAAAGAAAAGATGCCCACAATGCCAGACTTTTTCATTAGAAACACGTCATGTAGTGGTCTTGCTCAAAAGCACAAGACTATGATAACAGATATTACGCAGAGAGAGGGAGAGGTGCATATAGAAGCATACCCTTAGTACATGACTGATCTCGAACGAGATACATTCATTGGTTAGTTGTTTTGCTTCCTCATGCAGCTTCGAGAGTACCTCGTTGTTTACCTTCCATTTACCTTTAATCTACTCTTCTCAAAAAAACATTAAGTGAGAAGAGATAAAACGTACAGATTAATCTTTGAATTATTCAACTGCACAAAGATATATAAACTGTTTTGCATTAACGAACCTGCATACAGATAAGCTTGGAGTCACCTTTCACTTTAATTTTCTTGTAACCTCTCTCAATAGCATGCTTCAATCCTAGGATTAACCCATGATACTCTGCTGCATTGTTTGTGGCAATCCCCAAACCTTGACGCACTTTACAAATCTGCTTTTTTCAGAAAAAAAAAAATGAAATCTTTAGATACAGAACTTGAGATTCTCTAATAAAACCGTGATTCAAAAAGGATTCATACCAAGCTTCCATCCTCAGTTTTCAGTACAGCAGCTGCGCCAGAGAGACCAGGGTTTCCCTTTGATGCACCATCAAACTCAATAAAGCAAGTTTCCTACCACAAGAGGAGAAAGAGAACTTGAGCCACAAACATTCTACATTCTGAATAATGATCAATACAAACATAAACCACAACTTACATCTGAAGTAGCAGGCGATGGTTCTAGCTTATCAAGTTTTTCAACTGATGAAGTGGAAGCAGAAGGAATATCCTGAGAAACATGAATACTAAAGGAATGAGCTGGAGGTTGTTTTGTCTCATAATATTCATTAATCTCCAGCTAGTTCTTCAAACTATAAAATAAGAAGACAAAAACACTGTTCTTACAACTTTGATATCTTTTGACATCATCTCTGAGGTATCCTCTTCTTCAGATACTTTAACTTTAGAAGAAGATGGCTCCTAAAGAATTAAGGAGAGGCAATAGTTAATAATAACACAAGAGGAATCACACCTAGATAACACTGTGAAGCCACAAAAGTGATCATACCTGGAAAAGACAAGGGGTGAGAGAGCCAAACATATCCTCTCTCAAGTCAGAAGCTCCAAAACAGTAAAGAGGGTTCTTCATCCCAACAGAAGAAAGATAATCCTCTGCGTCTTTAGGCAAAGAGTATCCCTTATAAACACTAACGGGAGGATCAAACACCTATCATTAATTAACAAACAAAAAATTTGAGTGTTTCTATTCCCATTCCTAAATAATAATAAACAGAAGAGATAGTAGTAAGGTTAAAAGATGCATTCACCGATGATCCAACTTGAGCTTGACAATCATTTAGATCCTTATAAATTCCAATAACGTCACCCTTCCGAACAACAAAGAAGGCGTCTTTCTCTTTGTCAGCAACAGTAACAGTTTTGGACTTACCAGACTTTGATCCGGAGGAATAGCAAAGAGCCCTAGAGAGTCCAAGTGGACTCACAACACTTGCAGGATTTAAACAGGGTTTTGAAGGTATGTAAAAGCATTGATTCCATGGGATCTTGGAAGTGACATAGCAGGATCTATTAAGTAGCCCCAAGGAAATGTAAGAACGCGCGTGAGAGAGGCAGTTCATCACCGTTATAATTACCCACTCCCACACTGAGATTTATGAAGAAAGCACACAACTTTAGTTGAAATCAAGAGTTTTATCTGAGTACAATTCAACCAATAAATTTCTGCTTCGAGATGATATGAAACAAGAAACTTCTCTGCCTAGTGAGAGCTTTCGAAAAACCAATGTCGAAAAAGAAAAGCCAGTGAATGCATCGATAATCAAATAGAGCAGGATTAAGTTAAAAAGAAACTAATTCGAAATGTCAAATTAACATCTTACCAAGCAAAAGGACGTGAATCTCTTGATTAACTGCTCGCCACGGGTTCTCTTTGCCGCAAGTAGGGAAAGAAGAAAGAAGACGGTGGGTTTAAGCCGGGTTTTGGTCTGCTATCAGGTGGTCTCAAAGTTAGGGGATTATGGAGAGTGATTCAGTACCGGTCAGATAAAGCTTTAACCGAAATTAATTTGGTTCGGGTTTATGTCCAGCATTTGCCGGTTTACGGTTTAATTTATATAAAATGTCAAGTCTTTTTTTTTCCGAGAATAAAATTGGTTATCATGTCAGTCTTTTTTTTTGGACAACGTTATACATGTACACATTAAAGGTCTTCGGTTCCAACTCGGCCTAAGCCTTATTTGTTTTTTCCAACCCAAAAGACCGATCAATTGGCCTAAGTAGGGCTCAATATTCAAATCGAAGACAATCTATGAAGACTCCAAAGTTACAAGTTCGTGTTCCCTGCTTTGTTTTTTTTTTTTAAATTTGTTTGTGAGGTTATTGTAATTGTCAACATCAACAAAAGCCAGTACCATTCCAAAATGCACGACCATGTGATAAATACTGAAAAAAAAATTTGAAAACAGGGTGAAAGTAGTCTGCCTGATTTTCACATCCCTGGAACTCAAAGAAAAATCTCTAATCTGGTAAAGACAACAACATGCGAGAAAAGCCAACAATGCCCACTTCTTCTCCCTTGCCGATCAGATCTAAACGCTTAGTAACATAACCTTCTTAGCGATTTCACTGACCTGACTCTCCTTTCCCTGGCCTCATGTGCCAACAAGTTGCAGCCTTCGTCTCACCAGTTCAAGCTGTCACGATGGGTAACATTGCGTTTATATCACACATTAGAGGCTTGATATTAAAACATTTTAATTGTAAGTGAAGCTTACCACTTTCTTGACTCGGTTGTTGGCGGCATCTGTTCCTCCAAAGACACAATCTGAAAGATAGGGGCTACGAACACGCACTTCTTTCATCACCAAAATGTCAGAGTTTTCCCACTGCACAGGCAGCCTGTAAAAAGAAAAAGAAAAAAAAAAAATATAGTCAGTAATTCATTAGAGAGAAACGAAGCATTCATCTGCTATAATTATTCAACCAATCTTGGAAACTAAGAAAAAAATTTCAAGGTGTAAAACCCTGTATCCCCGCTTCTGCTTGATTGTATCACAGAGAAACTAATAACAATACTTGACAGTAATTTAAAACCATGCTGTTGAGTAATTTAAAACCATGCTGTTGAGTTTGGAAAATAGCGCAATACTACCCTCGCGCAACAAAAAAGTAAGCAAATTATACTAAAACAGTACAGATCAAGGGAGAAAAAAGACAAACTCTGAATATATTTAGTTCCAAACCGAGCATCAACAAGGAAACTAGAGTAATACAACACTACTATCATGTCCAAAATCTAACATTCTATGCAGGCAATAACACAACAGAAACTCAAAGCAAAATTTACTTCAAAACAACCACTTGTTAACAAGGAAACGTATATAAACTAATCAACCATCTATCTGATTAGTCCCATCTTAACAAAGCTATCAGCAACAAACAAACACAACCCAACTCGTAAAAAGAAGCAAACATACTAATCTTCCTTGACACGAGAAGAGACAAGCGCTTAAACCATAACAAAATCTCAGCTTGGACACAGTAACTAGCTAATTATCCCACAAGCCTAGCAAACTCGAAAACACACAAAAAAAAGGAAAGATCTTTACGTCTTAGACAACGCATCGAAAATGCTCTGCGCCTCCGCGGTAACACCAACACCCATTCTCTCAGCTTCTGCTTCCGCTTGCCTGCTCTCAATACACTTTCACAGTAAGCTAATAAAAAAATAAAAAAAGCAGAAGACTTTGCATTAAAAAAAACAATAAACTCACCTGATAGCAAGTGCCTCTTTAGCTCGAAGCCCGTCGAGATTAACCCAACAGTCATCAGTAAGAAGCGGATCTTCTGTTTTGCCCAGATACGAAAGCCCCGTTATGAAACTCGCATTCACCATCCTAGTGTTCTTCGCATGCCCATCTCTAGGTTTCGAACCCTCTTGTGACCAAACCAAAATCACGTCAAGGAATCGAATCATTCACCCAAAACCATTAAATCTTTAACAAATTTAGAATTTTTATTTGAGTAAAAAAAAAGGATATCAAAAACGACGAAGTTTGGGATTGGATCGTAAGCCATGACGATCCCTCTGAACTCATCTCCGGTGATTACTTTAACCGAATAAATATTCCCCACCGGGAATTTCTCTCCCCCGATGTCGTTGGCCACCGTTGCTCCTGCTGGATCCATGGCGGCCGGCTTCTGAATCGCGCGTTTCTGGAACGTCGATGTACAGAAGAAAAAAAAACATTACAAAAAATATAAATATCATTCATGTACACGTCTACATATGGGCCTCCTAAAAGCCCATTTACTTTACTGGGCTTTTGGTGGATTCCTTAAAACGCCGCGTTTTATAATCATCATCTCTACCAAATTTTGTCAGTTATTATTTTATCCATTTGAGAGAGAGACTGAAGCATCATCGTCAATCGTGTGTCAATGGCGGCCGTAAGCATCGCACTTGCTTTCTCTTTCGATTCTCTAAAGCATAACCAATCCAAGAAGCTCAATCTCTCGTCTAGATACCCTTCACTATACTCTTCTAGATCTCACCGCTCCAGTCTCAGACTCGCTTCTCTCCCTTCTTCCTCGCATTCCTCTTCAATTTCAACCGCCACAGAGACCGGAGAAGAAGAAGAAGAAGAAGAATCCACCATAAAATCAACCTCAAGCTACGATTTTCTCGAGGAAACCTTCCGCACGGGGAGGTTCCTAAGCAACGCGGAGCTAGAGAAGCTTAAGTCTCTGGAAGGATTCGCGTATTTCCAGGAGCTGGAGTCTGGATCCATGTGGGTTAGGGTTATGAGGAAAGACGAGATGGATTCGACGGTTAATCTCCTCGCGGAGTCTTTCGGAGAGTCGATGATGTTGCCTTCAGGGTATCAGTCTGTGCTGAGATTCTTGGTGAAGCAGTATTTGATTGAGAGGAGAGAAGTGTTGCCACACGCAGTGACTTTAGTTGGATTCTTTAGAAAGAAAACTGATCAAGGAGAGGAGGAGGATGAGGAGGTTGTTGAGATGGCTGGAACTGTTGAGGTTTGTCTTGACAAACGAGGAGCTAATGCTTCTCCTCCTTCTCCGACTCCTCCTAAGGAATCACCTTATGTTTGCAACATGACTGTTAAAGAGAATCTTAGAAGGTATTTTATTAGTGTTGTTTCTTTGTTTAATGATAAAAGCTTGTGACTTTTTGTGTGGTGATGATTATTTGGTTTAGGAGAGGGATTGGGTGGCATTTGTTGAAGGCGAGTGAAGAGCTGATATCTCAGCTTAGCCCTTCGAAAGATGTCTACTTGCATTGCAGGATGGTCGATGAAGCTCCTTTCAATATGTACAAGAAAGCAGGGTACGAGGTTGTTAAGACGGATACGGTTTTGGTGCTTTTGATGTTGCAGCGGCGTAAGCATTTGATGCGCAAAAAGCTCCCAACGTCCACCACCAGCGGTTCAGATACGGTGGGGTTTGATAATGAGGTGACGTCTTCTGCCACTGTGTGAACACTGGTACAGTTTTTTTCTATTAGTAGTGCCAAGTAACTTTTAGTGTTTTGTATAGCTGGTCTGAGACCATATAACTTAGAACTTGTCGTGATTGGCTTCATCATGCAGGGACTACATGTGACTTAACCAAGAGCTTGAGTTTTACCACCTTCCATCCACTGTTGATGTTCCAGTTTCTTGCTTCAACTTGCTGTTTATATGATCGTAGTAAAGGTATGTCACTCATGTTCTTATCAGACTTAGCTTTACTACCTGTCGTTTTCTACTTCTTGTATTCGTTAGTGATTGTCTTCCTTGTTTACATATGTGCCGTCTAAATTTTTAGCAAACAGAAAAGGTTACACCCCTGACTTTATAATATATATATTAACACTCCATGTCTCTGCAAGCAAACCACCCTTGGCAAATAAAACACAATATACACCCGATTTACATGGTGACTTTTTAGTATATACATCTAAATAATGTTTCGCTTGATATAATTTTAACAGCTGGAAGTTGGAATTTATTATTAATTAGGGTTATTTTATTTTATCAGCAACCTCTCTCATTGTTGGAAAAATGACTTAATCCGTATTCACTGCTTTGAAAGAATCTGGTTGTCTAGAGCCTTCTGAATGTAGGTATCGTCCCACCCAAGCCACCCTTGGAGTTTGTGTAGATAATTAGTTGCAGTTCCTTAACACAATCCGTCACTGAAGGCCTCTCGCTGCTCTCTATACGGATGCAACGTGATGCCAAATCAGCAAACATGGCTATAGCTTCCATGCTGTATGAGTTCCGAGACAGCTCTGGATCTATAACCTTGCGCAGTTTCTTTCTATCATTTAGTATACTCCTGACCTGAAACGTAGAGAACAATCAGCAGTTTATTCTGTATGTTAATCTTAGAAGCTAGGAGGGCCACTTTACCTGTAGCACAAGGTTCTGTTCGTTTGGGCCCTGAGTTAAGTCAACTGCTCTGCGTCCAGTAAGTAGTTCTAACAGCACAACCCCAAATGCATAAATGTCGCTTTGTAGTGTAAGTTTACCGGTCTGCCATAGCACAAATGAAAAAAAAAACAATAAGTTGAAACTTTCTCTGCCTTGCTTATGAGTTTTGATATTTGAGTGTGATTCTTTTTCCTGGTCCGTTCATGTCACTATTATGGAGTTGTAGTTTAATTATGTAACGTTTAGTTTACACACTTTTGCCTTGTTAACGTTATTTATTGGAAGAGAAATCATGTGAAGACGTGTGTAAGAATCATTACCGACGTGTATTCTGGATCGAAGTAGCCGAATGTTCCTAGAACTCTTGCTGTTACACAAGTGTCCTTTCCTTCTGGCATCAACTTTGCTAGTCCAAAGTCGGATATCTGCATCACGTCTTAGTTTTAGTGATTTTAGCTGCATAAACCATGCACTTTAATCTTTTTTAATACACACCTTTGCGTTATAGTAGGTGTCTAGTAGAACATTGGTTGATTTGAAATCTCTGTGAACAATTGGAATGCCAACACTAGAACTTGAATGGAGATACGCGAGTCCTTTCGCTGCTCCAAGTGCGATTCTAAGCCTTATTGGCCAGCTTATCTTTGCTTCTTTTATTCCTGTGATAAAAAGACTCAGTTTAGTGGCCATTCTGCCTTTGCAGGACTCTGACTATTATATCGTTTTTTGACACTTACCATTCAAATGATCTTGCAGGTTTCCGTTTTGCATATATTCATATACTAGGAAGCGGTGTTTTCCATCTGCACAGTAACCAATCAAAGATACAAGATTTGGATGGTCGAGTCTACTCAATATGTCCACTTCCACACGAAATTCTCTCTCTCCATCAGCCTTTTTGAACGGAGGTAGATCCATCTTCTTGATCGCAACAACCTTTCAAAATAGCAAAGGATCAAGATATTACGTATGTTCTTTTTCATCTTTGACAACATGTAAAGCCTGTAAATCCACATAAAATGAAGCGCGATATACATTAGTTTCTACCTCTCCTGTTTTTAGAGTGCCTTTGTAAACTCGGCCAAATCCTCCTTTACCGAGGAGATTGTCATCACTGAAGGAACTTGTGGCCTCCTCCATTTCCTTGAGGGTATAAACACATGACCCGTACCTTCGTTTCCTTGGCTGAGACGTCTGATCTTCTATTTGCCAGCACTCTGCTGTTCTGTAGACCCCTGAGAAGTAAGGTTAGGTTCACACAGATGTTTTAGTTTCACCTATACCCCTTTTACTCGGCAATAGTAATGTCGAAGAAACATACATACTTTTACGCCATCTGGCGAAGATGATGGAGAAAAGGAACGTACATGGATCCGTGTCATAGGATTTGCTTCTCCTTCTCTTGTTCCAAGCTGAAACAAGAGGAAAATGCATAGCTTCTGCTCTTAGGAGGTGTCTTTACTCTTAGTAGGTGCAGTAAGAGACCATTCCAAAGCCTAAGCTTCTGATAAATTATACCTTCCGAGTTAGTTGCTTCCAACGAAATAGAGAAGATGGGTGTGGTGTGAAGATGAGAGAGATATAGAGGAGTGTATCAAGTGTTCTTTAAAACCTTGCAAGCTACTAAATTGATCTTTGAGGGGGTTAGATTTGTGAAATACTCAACAGCAGTATTTCAACTACCGACGTTATAGAGAAAGGTAGAAAGAAAGAGACGGTAGAGCTGAAGAATACGTAAGATTACATGTACGTGAAGCAAAAGTAAATAATAGCATCTTGAGAAAGACTTGACTCTGTTTCTTTAACACTCGGTTTGCTTCTCTTGTCTGAATCTATCTACTTCTACCAGTATATGTGTATAAATACGTACGTATCTGTTTCTAGATAGATAGAGAGAGATGAGAAGCTGCTTTCAAGAGTGTTTCCTTCCCCTTTTCGTTTCAATTGTTTTCTTTATTACTATATATATTTTATTACTATATTATATATTAATATTAGCGTTGTTTTCATTTGTTCGTTGAGTGATAGAGATATACATACATTGTCTTGTGCACAAAAAAAGAATACATACATTGTCTAATAGGAGAAGAAGAAGAAGACCTCTAATTTTCGTAAAAGCAATCTTTGTTTCATGATTAGCTTATCAAATCCTAGGTTACTGTAACTTTAACGTATCTAATTATATATTCGACATTTCGGGTGGACCTTTGCTTCAAACAGAAAATGATGAGTCATCTTTACAACCTTTGTTTGCCGTTTCTATCTTAAGACTGCAGAGTGATTGCATTTTATATCAATCGGGAGACAACATGCAGTTTTCGTATTGGGCCAGGCCTCACAATGGGAGGTTATCTACGTCTAGAAACTAGGTCTGGGCAATCGGGACCAATCGGATTTCGGATTTACGAAAATCAACCCCATTCGGATATTATAAAAGTTTGGTCCGGTATCGGTTCAGATTTTATCGGATTCGATTCAAATTTTGTAACTTTGGCTAAACCCAGTTGAACCCGAAATATTTACGGGTTTAGGTTCTTAAACGGTTGTTCGGTTTTTAAACACTAATTTGTACTCGGTTTGACTAAAACAAAGCATGATGATTAGCAAAATAAAATCTACATACTAATGGTGTTGTTAGTTAAGTGTCGCATGACGATCTGGTTTAGCTGTGAATTGTATTACACTAACAAAACAAACATTTGACTCATTGTCCATCTTTTTGACGTTTTGCTGGGTCTTCTGATTTCATAGTTATATGTATGCCGATCACTCTAACCTAGTTATTAACAAGTTGAGCTAAACTCAACAAAAGAAAAATGCTATCTACACAGAAGACTTTTGATTAAACAATACAGAAAACACACAAATATATAATGTGACACAAAGGTGAAAGACAAAAGAGGCTAGGATTAGACATAGGGTTGTGTCTCGACGGATGTAATCAATTGGTGGTCGGATTTTAAACCGATCCGAACCGATATCTATTATAACTCAAAACAAGAACCATTTGGTTTATTAAGAAAATCCGAAACCGACCCATACCGGCTTAATCGGACCTGGTTCCGATCGGTTGATCGGTTCTCAGATATATTGCCCAAGTCTACTAGAAACGGTCAAATTCATTGTTATAAAGTTTTGTAAGTAACAGACTCATCATGTGTAGAAATCAAACAAAACAGATAAAAGCGCTAATTTTTTCAAGTAAACTATGTTTGTTAGCTTGTACAGTTAACTGAATTTCCAATGCGCAAAATGAATTAAGTAAGTGTCAGTAAATTGTAAATGCTGAAGCAATTAGTTATAAATAAAAAATTCAACACGGTGAAAAAAAGTTAGGTGAGCTAAGCTTAAGAAAAGTTAAATGAAGTTATGCACTTATGCTTAACAAAAGTTAGATGAGTTGAGGTTCTAAAGAGTTAGAAGAGAGTCAGGTAACAAAACTAATTAATTCAGTTGGCAATGTTAATTAGTTTATAAGTCTCCCGCAGATGAATTCTTTATATATTTTACTAGGAAAATATATCATGTTTCACGCGACTTTCATGCTGGTAATTAGTTCTTCCAAATTTAATATGTATCTAGATCATCGATTTAACTGATCTGCTTTACTACGCAGACGAATTAAGATTCTATGTTGAATACAAGGATTTCGACGAAAGAAGAAAAGTGACGTTATGCATATTTGGGAATAAGATATACCCAAGATACTTTCAGACGGTCAAATCAAACTTTTACGTCACTGCTAGGAAGACAATACTAGTATCGTGACGATGAACATCGAGTGCATAAATGTTGGCCAAGACACTAAAGATCGAGTTTCTCTATTCTACGACATTAGCCTGTCACATCAAGCTCAGTGATGCTAATCTTTATCAACGAAATCATACAACAAACACTATTGATTGTGAGTAATTCAGAGGCAGACCCACGTATGAGAAGGGTGTGACACATGCCACATACTAATAATATAAACTTCTTGTGCGAATTAGTGTACAGATGCAAACATTTGGCTTGTTGGCTTTGAAATCTCAACTGTGCCCCACCCCCATCCTTGTTCGAACCGTTGAATGAACTGTGTTTTCCTTCCAATTTTTTTACACCTTTTTAGACTGTTTTTTTCCTGATTTTTTGCTACATAACATCATTATTTTTCTTGTTAGATTTTTTTTCTTTAATATCAGTATTGGAAAAAATAAATAAAAAATATGATTTCGTTAAATTTAACCTTAACAATTTAGTTTCAGTTCAATGAATATTTCAGTTAAATTTTACATCTTTTTAGACTGTTTTTTTTTTTCCTTTTTTTTTGCTACATAACATCATTATTTTTCTTGTTAGATTTTTTTTTCTTTAATATCAGTATTGGAAACAATAAAAAAATATAATTTCGTTAAATTTTACCTTAACAATTTAGTTTCAGTTAAAATGAATATTTTTAAGGTTTGGGTGAACCTTTGATGAGTTTATTAAGTCTCCCGGAGACAAATTCTTTAAATACTTTACGAGGAAGATATACCATGTTTCACGTGACTTTCGTTCTGGTAATTAATTCATCCAAATTTAGTTCATGTATCTAGATCATCGATTTAACTGAGCTGCTTCACTATGCACAGTGCCGCTTAACATATAGGGCGGTCAATGCGACCGTCCCATGACCCATGTCAACAAAAAATTTTGATTTTTGTTTTTCAGTTTGTGGTTAAGATGCTATAAAACTATGATAGTGTAAAATAAATTGAAAAATATATAAAACAAATAAAAATAGTTAGTTAGTTTAATAGTCATCTTAAATGATTTTTGCGAGCATATTGCATAATTGTATTGTAACTAACACGAAAAAGTTGAGAAAGATATATTTGTGAAGATGACAAAAACAATCTATGAAATCTCACAATCCATATTTACCGAGTAATTTCTCAAATTTATTTTTAAGGGAAAAACATAAATGTAAATAAATTATTTTCAAAACAGATAAGGTAAAAATACGCATTATACAAAGAATCTATATCCAAAATCCATAAACAAAAAATAAAAGTTGTAATAATCTTACTTATAAACTTACATATACCAAAAATACAATTCTACAAAAATAGGATCCTAGAATGAAGCTTTCATATTAACAAATTATCGCATGTTAACACTTATACCTCTCTCTGTATGGGATTAATAAGCGGCTAATTTCAAACAACTAATGGCATCAAAGAACGAACGTTTTGACGTTGACTTTTCACTCGGCTAATCAAAATATAACATGCGATAACAAAGAAAGTCATATTGGTAACAAACATTAATATAAAAATATATAAAGGTTCATTAAAATAAAAGCTTAAGTTAAGTTACCATATACAGTATTTTTAAAGTTATACTCACCCCAATAACAACGGCAAAAATTAATTCTGCATTGGGTTGTTAGGAAAAACACTATATAAATTAAAATACAAATATAAAACACTCATATACCTTCAAAAAACAAATAGCTCTCAAAGAATCATTTTTCCCTTTATTATGTTATGCATACTGAGTTTTTTGGATTACTATATGTACATATTATCTCCAAAAAGTCTTTATTTTACAACTTAAAAATAATAAAAAGATAGAGATAAAAATTTACATTGGACCGAAAAGATATAAAATGAAAACAACCCCATAAATACAAAAATATCAAAACAAGACAAATAAGAATGCATATATATTTTTTTAAAAATATATAGCACACAATCAGCGCGTAGCGCGGAAAAAGTATCTAGTATACTTAAAAATGTAGATTAAACACTTCCTTTATCTAAAGGCCCTTATTTTTGAAAAAAAAAATTTGCCCAAGAGCTTCAATTTGCATTGAGCCGGCCCTGACTACGTAGAGGAGTTAAGATTCTATGTTGAATCCAAGGATTTCGACGAAAGAAGAAAAGTGATGATACATATGTTTGGGATCACCCAAGATACTTCCAGCCGGTCAAATCAAACTACTACGTCGCTGCTAGGGAAGACAATACTAGCATCGTGACAATAAAATATCGAGTGCGTGAATGTTGGCCATGACACCAACTATTGAGCTTCTATGTTCTATGACACTCTAGCCCATCACATCCAGCTCACTGATACTAATTCTTCTCATAAACCCTTTTGATGCAAACAAATCTACTTTTGGAACATGAAAGAAAAACACTTGCTATATTTTAACTTACACAAGGTAAGTTTGTGATTCACAGTCAGTTGACTCAGTTCTAACATAGAGGGAATAATCATCTTATGGTTCCCATTAGCGACCCAAGAGCTGTGCTTTCTCTCCATTGCCATCTGATAGACACCAAACAAGCAGACACTATCCCGTTTGTTATCCACAATGGTTGTATTGAAACCCGAACATGTTGAGAAGAGTTTAGACTTTATGTTTGCAAGATTTTTTTGTTTTCTTATTTTATCTAATTACGGTTTGATCCTTAGAGCATCTCCTATTGTACTCTATTTTATCATCAAAATGCTATTTATAAAGTAAAAGGATTTTCAATAATATGATAGTTTTACACCAAATAAAGAGATATCAATAGTACTAGCTCAAATATAGAGTAATAATGTTTATTGTTAATTCTGTGCTGTAATAAAAATTTGATTTTGAAATATAGTTTTTAAAACATTGTAATTGTTTTAGTCTATTTCTTCCAAGTTTTTCTTTTCTTCATTGGTTATAGTAACTTTGTTTTAGCTTTAGTAATAAAAATAAATTATATTAATATTATATACTCGAAAATGAAGATGTTATCCTTAAAATAGCATTCAGAAAAGTTAGAGACGTTATGTGGACAGTGTATATCGCTTAGAACGATTAATCGGACGTAAATTATTAGTTATTCGGTCTATGTGTTTACCAATCATAAAAATATACTAAATATATATAATATAAATAGATGAACTATCATGATTTATAAATAATAATATTTATATCATTTATTTCTATAAGATTTTTTATTATAACATGTTAATTCCTTTTTCAATAATATATTAATTTTGTAATTCATTAATAAGAAATTATTTATATTATCATATTATAATTAATAATTATCTAGGCGAATTATATACTAGTAGCAATAATTATAGAGAACCTAGAGCCCCGGCCACCTAGACGATATTTAGAACATTGCCTAAAACACAATGACCACACTAATTAACAGTGACGTTCACACTTTAATATTTTGTTGATTTTCCTAATCAAGGACTATGCCGCCGCTGAACTTTCGATGATATCCAGATCGGTAATGTAAGAACTGGGAGAGAAATCGCCGGCCAATGTTGTGGACAGTGACGGTGACCAATCCAACACGTGCACCTCTCTTCGGGAGCACGTGACTTTGTTTTGTAGTGGGTTTTCTCTTGTGAACCCTGTCGAACCATGACTGCTACCCCCACAAGGAAACACGTGTCTTCTTATTAAAGGGCAGACTATTCCAACGGGAACCACCGCTCACTTACATCTTCAGACCCGTCGGTTCCACGGTCGAGACAAGTGACCATTAGAGTCAGAGATGTGTGGGGTTAAGTAAAATAACGTTAACCAATGCAAATTTCATCTCTATATATAAACACCATTATCAGAATTAAGGAGTATAATATCACTTCATAGACATATAATAGTAAAGCAGAACAAAAATAGAATGGCGCTACATGGAGATTCTTGCGGCGAGTTTGACACCAAGTCTCCGGCGGACAAGTTATTTACATCTTTCACCGGCGACATAAACAGCACTTTTGACATAATATGTAAATCATTTTAACTCTTTCACGTTTCATTCTTATTTCTTGATCTTCTTGATCGAAACCCTTAATAATTATTTGATGTTCTTTCACCTTAGCGAATGAGAAGATCACTGAGTATGTGGGTTGGGAGAAAAGAACAGTGACGCTAAGTATGAGTGGTAATCTTGTCTCGGATAGCTACAAGAAGTTTAAAGCAACCATCACGATCACTCCCAAGGCATTCGAGGCTGATGGTAGCCGCGTGTTGTGGACTGTCGAGTTTGAGAAGATTCGTCATGACGTCGAAGATCCAGTGTGGATCATTGACAGTCTTATCAATTACTTAAAGGAGATTGATGGAATCTTAATATATAGCCTTTTCTAAATGAACTAAATATGTGTTGTCTACGTTCGCCATTTTGGAGTGTATGAACTACGTTTGAAAATTGTAATCCTCATAATGAACAAATGATTTGGGAATCAAAGACCGCCTCCTCTGTTATCTCCTCTTTGGTCTTATGCAGCTTGAGTGAAAGAGCATTATCATAAACGTTATGTTCCTTATTATCAAATTTTTGAAAATCATTTATAAGATGGTAATATTCTTCAAATGCTCTTTTTCAATGCTCATATGAAGATTTTTAGTAGAGTATTTGCATATAAAATATATAAAAAATTAAAATAGTTATATATATTAACATTTTTATTTAATAACATTAAAACTATGTTTATACCAAGAATTAAATTAATACTTTTAAAAATAAGTACTCAAATAAAATATTTTAACTTTTTAAAAATAATATTATTTCACATGCTATAATTTAATTTATATAATTAAATATGAAACATTATTTTAATAAAAAAACATAAAATAAAATATTATATATTATAAATATAAATATATCTATACTATTTAAAAATAAATTAATTACATACCATATATATTAGTTTTAATAATTTTATATATGAATCATTTATTATTCTACCTATCACATTTTAAATAAACACATGAAAATATACATCATCTACAATGTATTATTTCTATAACATAATGCTACTGATTTATCATTAACTTTACCATTCAAAACTTTAATCTCTTAGTCTCCCTTTAACATCTCGGTCTAGACTATGATCCCAATTATAACCAAATCCATATTCAATCGGGTTTATGTTGTGTTATTGTATTCGGACCAAACTTGAGGAAATCCAAACTCAATCTGAACCGGAATTTAAATTCCATACTTCCCAAAATCCGAATGAAATCAAACCGAACCAGACCCTTGAAAGTCCAAACCAGCTCCTTTTTATAACATGGACAATTTTTTTGACTTGAAATCAATGGACTTAGGCCTATGGATTGTTGCAGTTGAAAGTTTTAGCTGGCCCTTTATGTCTCTATATTTCCGATCGCATAGGCCTATTCGGATGAAACTATAACGTGGTAATTACGTTTCGTGGGGTTTTGACCAACGTGAATCTCGAAGTGTTATAACGGCATTATGATAAACGAGAACAGCCAACGCTAATGTCTCTTTGGACACTGAAGAGCCGCTGAGTCACGGTGGATGAGTTGGCCAAGCACATGCTAGTTATGGGTTGCATATTGCTTGCCTTTTTGTCCATTAATTTTCGATGATTTGACTATGCAAATAAATAACTGTCTGCAACAAATCCGTGTCTCAAAAAGGCGTAGTGACCGGAACTCATAAGATTTGTTTTTTTTTTCTCTTTAAAAATCTAATTTAATGTATAACTAAATTATTTTTGGATTGCATCGTTTTTCTATGGTATCCATCAAACTTGTAATAAACTCTTTAAGATGATCTTTTCAAATAATTATATTTTTGAATGTCTTAAATCAGCTGTTTCGAGATTCATGGAATAAAACACATCATGTGGTTCTGGATTGATACTACTCACGAAGTGATATCTATACTATTAAAGCTGAAGTACAAAAAATTAGTGTTTGGAAACATGAATAGGTATTTAAAATTATAATGATTGGAAACAAGGATAGCTTACAAATCTAATGGGCTTATTTATTAAACTAAAGATTACTGCGGCCCAAAGTATCATTATTATTGTTTTTGGGTTTCTATCATTGATATTACTTTATTTCTGAAAATTATTTATACATATATGTATTCATGTTTTAAATGTATTTAAAATAAATCAAGAATAATATATATTTTATTTATATAATTTATATTGACTATTGNAAAGATTACTGCGGCCCAAAGTATCATTATTATTGTTTTTGGGTTTCTATCATTGATATTACTTTATTTCTGAAAATTATTTATACATATATGTATTCATGTTTTAAATGTATTTAAAATAAATCAAGAATAATATATATTTTATTTATATAATTTATATTGACTATTGTTATAAATTTTTAACAGTGATATACTAGCCCTTCAATTCTTCATGAAAAAATTAACTTAAAAATTTGAATAAATTGTTTAATGTATATAATTTTGCACCAAGTTTAGCAAAAAATTTTTTTATAAAATATTAATAAAATGTTTACGGGTCATAATATTTTACGATGCCCCTGTTACACAATACAGTGATGAAATACAATGTTTAAATAATGTACTATTACTTAGTCAAATTGGAACCATTAGATTGTAATTTTTGAAATGTTTATATATACCATAAAAATAAATACCCGCCCAGTCGGGCGGGTTATGATCTAGTATTTATTAAAGAAATAAAGAGATCCATGCAAATTCAGTGGAAAGGAACGTTGGCAATGATCGGACAGATCAAAACAGAAGTCGGAAACCCAACGAAGCCTAATTAGGCTTAATGTGTTTCACGTGGGGACATAAGATGTGACAACGTCAACCACTCATAAGAGAAACTCCACGCCGTTCATACATATCACTCTCTCACTCTCTCTGTTAGACCCAATGTTCGAGTCGATTCTAAATTCACTACTAATTTGCCACGCCATGACACTACTAGCTTGTTATGGTCCTTAGGCTCTTTCGAGGCATTTTTTTTATCCACAAAAAAAGAAGTGAATCTATATCTAACATGCACTTACATGATTCAAAATACAAACTGATAAACATAATTTAATACTCATGTTTTTATTATCTTATAGTAGTTTAATCAGATCGAGAGTGTGGATGCACTAACACACCAAAAAACCTTCTTTTTTTTTTAAAGGAGCAGAAAAATTAAACACAAAAAAATATACAAAACAAAAATACAATTAAGAAGTTTGGGACTATTTAATATGGACCACCTCCACATCCTTTCCATATCATCACAACTCTGTCACAAAGAAAAAAGGGGGCAATGGAGGAGTCCGTAAGGGAGAGGAATCATATGAAGAAGAAGAAGAAGAAAACGGATCGTGGGTTAGGTTGTGGAGTCGGGTCGATCCAAATGAGAATGAGAAGGCTCCGAGTGCTAATACCTGACGGGCGAAGACTGAACCAGCCGGATATGCTTCTATCAAAGACTGCTGATTATATTATGCATTTGGAGTTGAGGATTAGGTTTCTCAAAACCCTCTCTGATATGTACTCGCTCTCTTAAAATTAATCATTTTTTGTTGTTGTTGTTGTTTTATTCTTCATCTTCTTCGTTCTTTTTCTTCTAAATGTAAAACTCTCTTTTATATTTCTGCTTTATCACAAAATATTTACATTCAGAATTTGTTACTTCATAATTCATGTGGAACTAGGATAAGATCTGCACCTTACACATGACAAAAGTTATGAAAATATATATTAGTAAGTAGGTCATATATAGTATGATTATGTAGCAAATTTGCTTTTCTTTTGCCGAAGTACGGTTATGATCTTGATTTTGGTTTAGTTGGATAGATTTTTAAAAAATGATTTGGTTTTTGGTTTGGTTTGATTGTTGATTTTTTTTAAGAAAAAGTATAAAAATTGAAAATATCTAAAATAACCAAACCAAACTAACTGGATTAATCAAATTTAACCAAAATAATTGAATTTACTTAAATATTCGTTTTTTGAGAAAACTATACCAAATCCTAACCGAAAATTGTTATTTTGGACACAAAATTGAAAACCAAAATTAAAAAAAAATGTAAGTCAGTTAATTTCAAAATTAATTTTCAATTCAGTTAACCGAAATCGCATGACTATAGAGTATTTGATGCAGAAAGTCAAACTTCATACTCAATATTCAGTTCGTATCTACTTTACAAAATATGTATGCAAGTTTAATTTTGATGACAAAACTTATTTATTAAATAAAAATATAAAAACGTAATATTTATTGTTTGATTTAGTTACTGCAAATGAATAATACTAAATAACATATAAACTTGCATATTAACATCTCCTAAATTTTAAGATTGAGTTGTTATTATTTATAAGATGAAACCATAGACTTGGGCAGGAAATATATACGTAAAATACCTGATAGTTGATATTAACACTAATGAATTGAAAGCTGCCTTCTAAGTAGAGGTTTATATTATGTTCCTAGTGTATCCTCTACTCAATTTTGGACCAACAATTTTTTCAGTTAATTCTAAAACTGTCACTAAAGTAAACTGAAATCTTAATTAAGTGACAGTTCAACAAGGTATTTTTGTAATTATTATAAACTTAAGGTTACAAATTTTAAAATGTTTCTCTATTATATTTTAATTTAGACAAAAAGTTAAACCATTGATCACAAAAACTTCAATGTAGATTTTTAACAGTTTTAGTAATTTATAATCGTTTCAAAAAAATTCAACACATATCATATAAGAAAAAACCTAAATTTTTTTATTATATGCTTAATGTGATTTTATATATATATATATATATATATATAAACAAAAATGATAAAGGATAAAAAAATTGTTATCAAATCTTTATTATTCAAAATTATTAATTGTCATATATTTGTTCACTATATTAGATAATTTTATAGCTTTTATTTAAGGAAGGAATAAAAATAGTATTTTATAAAATTTATCATATACATTTATGTTTGGGTTAATCTAAGTTTTTCTATTCTTATGCTGCCACGTAAGCCAAATTGACAACTTAATCAAGTGACACCTAAGTAAGACTCCGTTTTAACTAATACAAACTTAAAATTACAACTTTTAAAATGATTTTCAATATATATAGAATTTGTTTCTTTAATTTAGGTGAAGCTTCATAGTAGGGATGGGCAATCGGGGTCCCAATCGGGTTTCGGTTTGGGTTCATTCGGGTTTCAGATTTTTGGGTTCATAAATTTCAGTCCCATTCGAATATTATAAAAATTTGGGTCAGATTCGGTTTGGGTTTAGTCGAATTCGGTTCAGATTTAGTAACATGGACAAGATCCGTTTAAACCCGAAATAGTTTTGGTTTGGGATACTAATCGATTTTTGGTTGTTTAAATCTATACTATTAAAAGTGAAGGCACCCTTGCAAAATCGACTGATGGAAGTTGTGTGTACCCTTCATTAATGGCATTTTGGTAATTTATTTTCGTCTTACATCTATATATATATCATTTTGTTACAAATAATATCATATATTGCATATACTCGAATTATTTTCTCTCTCTCTTTCCATTAATTACTCTAACCATTAATTATTCTCTATTTTCCCATTAATTATTCTATCTCTTCCCATTAATTACTCTAACCATATTTCATATTATATTTTATATATTTATTGATTTCCAACATTATATTACACGATTTATTATATGCATCATATATGGATTTTATAATCACATTCCATACTATATTTCATACATTTATATTGTATTATACACCTTATATTACATGATTTCAATCTACAGATTTTCAGCATTATACTTTTATGGTTGACTTTTTTGGTATATAAATCATATATGGACTTTATAACCATATTCCAAATTATATTTCATACATTTATATTGTGTTCTACACCTTATATTACACGATTTCAATTTATATATTTCCAACATTATACTTTTTTAGTTAACATTTTTTGAAATATGCATCATACATGGACTTTATAAACCTTCATTTCATTTATATTGTGTTATAGACCTTCATTTCATGATTTATCTTCATATATGAAATATGTTTTCATGTCTCACTAAATTTACCCGTATTTATATACCATATTATATTTCATACAATTATATTGTGTTATAGACCTTATATTACATGATTTCAATCTATATATTTTGATATGTTGCATATTTACTTGGTTTTAACCTTGCATTCTTATTCATGTTGAGCATATAGATTAGATTTAGGCACTCTTAGGTTGCATTTTGCATTCATTTGTCTTTATCAGGTGGTGAAACATGCTGTGGAGTTCTTGGAGGTGTTTGGGATCAATTATGTGCCAAAAGAGAGTGCAAATATGTCATTTACCGAGCCGGAGCAGCCACAGCGGAGTCAAGAGGTCGCTGCAAGCAACATCAGTCACAGCGGACCCCTGGGGCGGAGTCAGGGGGTCGCTCCAGACCACAGCGGAGGCTCGGCAGCGGATATAAGGACACCGCTCGCGTTTGAGAGACGGGACGAGAGAAGAGCGCCGCAGCGGGGTCTTGGCAGCGGGGTCGGGAGGCCGCTTCACGCCCACAGCGGACCCCCGGGGCGGAGTCAGGGGGTCGCTCGCGTTCAATAGAAAAGAAAAGCAGCCACAGCGGGGTCTGGGCAGCGGGATTGTGACCCCGTTGTGCGTCTTTTATGTGACGAAAATAAGACTTTGAGGACCTTTTTGCAATTTTTGTTTTTTATGTTTTGAGTTTCAAAAATCTAATAAAAACTACGTTGTAAGCCTCGAGAGGAGATAATCTTTTGTTCTGGAAGAAAACTTCTTTTGGATTGAGATTTCATTGCTTTCATCTTGTGTTCTTGTTGATTTCTTGTCTATTTCTCTACATGATTAATCTGAAATCCAATATGGGTTTAACAGGAATCGTGGAGATTAGTGAGTAATCACCTTTTGAATTCATGGGTTAGGGAGATTAAGGGTGATTAGGTTAGATTTAGGATGTTTTAGTGTTAGATTTCTCTTGTTCCTTGCTTATTAGAGTAACCATAATGCCTCTTTTGAATTGATCACTCAAAAGTTGATCTCTAGACATTTCCCACTCATAAAGTGTTCGATGAAATGTCTGAGTCAATTCTCTTAAGCTTTTAACAGTCTTTACCAGGGACACTTGTTGTTAAAGGTGTTAAGATGGCTTTTAGATTTATTCCTATTGATTACTTTCATAATATTCAACCAAAGACATTTGATGCTTGAGTTATGGTAGTAAATGAACATTCATCTAGACATAGAGCTTGTTTAGAATCGTATCTAGACCTAAGGTAGACAGTTTAATTGATCGCTTGCCATCCTTAGATCGAAACTTGATCAATTCCCTATACCCATGAGTTCTCCTTTATCTTCTTTGTCAAAGTTATATCTTTTATTGCATTCTAGTTTTAGTTAACCTTAAAAACCAATCAATCACATGATCGCACTTAGATTAAGCTAGTACTTGTATTCTTGGTGCTTTTAAATCCCTCAGAACTGGTTCGACAATCATCTATACTACAACATTTGTTTTAGGAGCCTCAAAAACTCCTAACATCATATTTCCAACACTATACTTTTTTGGTTGACATTTTTTGGTATATGCATCATACATGGACTATATAAACTTTCATTTCATTTATATTGTGTTATAAACCTTCATTTCATGATCTATCTTCATATATGAAATATGTTTTCAAGTCTCACTAAATTTATCCGTATTTATAAACCATACTATATTTTATACATTTATATAGTGTTATAGATCTTATATTACACGATTTCGATCTATAGATTTCCAACATTATACTTTTTTGGTTGACATTTTTTGGTATATGCATCATACATGGACTTTATAATTTTTAATTTCATTTATATTGTGTAATAGACCTTCATTTCATATTTTTCTTCATATATGAAATATGTTTTCATGTCTCACTAAATTTACCTGTATTTATATACCATAATTAGACGACATATAGTGATATCAACCAAAAAGATATATCATCACTCTCATGTTGACATTTAATGGACGAGATACGTTTTGTTAAGAAAATATTGCAAATACGGTTTTCTATAATTATATTCCTACTAAAATAAAGAAATTGTTTTACCTACAAGTTATAGATTAACCACAATCAATATCGTAGATTCCATAAATTTCGGTAACTTACCGTAGTTGGATTACCATTAAGTGCTAAACTTTAAACTTCTTAACTAATTTAAAATCTTCAAGAAATATTCATTATTTCTCGAAAGAAATATTTTAAAAAATCGTATGAAATATTCTTCCCTATATTTGCGTAACCTAATTGTATATCGTCCCTACTTATTATAAATATAGCCTCTCTTAACCATTATATTTATCATCTCTTCAAAAAACTAAAACAAAAATGGCGAATAGTTTGCAGTTGTCTTTCTTGAGCGATATAAAACCGAGGAAGACTGCTGTCGCATCCAAGTCAAAATCCTTCATACGTGGAGACATTTCATGAAAGACTAAGGGAGTCCATGGAACTAATCCTTTGTGATGCAAATGTAAATTTATCGTTTTGTATAGATTTTTGATTTAGATATCTTCATTTCGTTAAAGTTTAACCTAAATAATAATGTTTTATGTTTATATAGGGAAGTAAGATCCATGCCTCGTGTTACAAGACATACATTCCTCGATTGGCAAAAGACATTACTCAAATGCTTATGATTCATTTTTGGTTATAAGTGAGGTCCAAATCTCAAATGCTTATGACGTAAGTCAGATGTTTGTTAATCCTGAAATACCAGAGACAGATGAATTTAAACAACGGTATTTATCTTTTTCAACAAAAATGTTTTCACTTTATAATAGTATAGACTAAATTATAAAACTTATTTATAATCGCAGAGGTAATGATGATTCTCGAGCGTTAACCCTGGATGAATCAAAATCGCAGAGGTAATGATGATTCTCCATCTATCCGTTTTAGGATTATGTTTGTTTATAAATAATGTTTTTAGTTATGTTTTGACAATCGCATAATGATGATTTTCGAGCGTTAATCCTGGCTGAATCAAAATCGCGTTTTGTTTTCACCCAATAAATTTCATTTTAAATAATATTTGTTTTTTCTTGACGATTTATTGACTGATTTATTTATATGAAAAATACACAGGGTTGTATAAAACAGATCAATATACTATGATATAATAAACGAAAATCGATTTATACTATATTTGATGCATATTGAAACAGAAAATGAGATACTTGGAGTAACAAATCTCATTTGTTACTCCAGAATCTTGCAATATTTAAATTATTCCTTATATACTTGGAGTTATCTTTGACTCTCATAAAAAAAAAATTTGAGTTACCTTTGAATCTCATAAATTAATTTAATATTTTATTTTATGGTCAACAAAAAATTGCAGCCCTTCTTAAGCGCGGGTCAAAATTGAATATTATTTTTACTGTTCAAAAATCGTAGATGTAATTATTTTGAATAACATAAATAAACTATATAAGAAGCGCGGGTCAAAATTGAATAATATTTTTATTGTTTAAAAATCATAGATGTAATTATTTTAACTAACATAAATAAACTATATAAGAAGCGCGGGTCAAAATTGAATATTATTTTTATTGTTCAAAAATCATAAATGTAATTATTTTAACTAACAGAAATAAACTATATAATTCGATTAACATATTTATTGGATTTTATTACAAATTTGTAATACAATTTTGGGCATTTTCAATAGTATTAGTTTTTCAAATTTACTATAGGCCATGGACCCATCCAAATTTGGTTTCAATCTAATATGTGTTTTAATTCTTCATACTCTCAGAATACTTAATTTTTTGATTTTCAGTTCAATCACAAACTGACTCGGTTATGTAAAACTCAAGGAAAAGATCATACTAAAACGTTAAATATACATCAAATTTCACATATAAAACTATCATATAATTAAAATAGAATCATTTGATACATTTTGTTACAACCAAAATAAAACCCGCGCTTATCAAGCGTGGATCAAAATCTAATACTAATTAATACTCGAGTAAACTCAATATATTTTTAATCATTTTATTAAATTTGTGTATTTAGCTTCTTCAAATCATATTGTTGTCCTTCTAAACAATATTGTGAAATTCGTCTACAAACTATATAAAATTTGTCATTGAACTATATGTGACAATACTAAACATATCATAATTATTGACAAACCAATTTCTTGTATGAACGAAAATAATATATAATGAAACATAAAAAATTAAATTTAACAAATAACAATTCTATAAACATAAGAAATACTATTTAAACTTAAAAACATTATTTAAATTTCAAAACAAATTTATTCGTAACTTAACTTTAAATGTAATGTTAATCATAAACATTAATGTTAACCAAATAAAACTATATATTAGATTAAATGTTTGATTTAATTATTCATATAATAACTAATTATTATAGGGACTCAATAATATATTAATGTGTTTTGGAAACATATTATAAATTTAGATTGGGTATGGTACAAGTTTTTTTTGGAATTTTTAAGTTTCGGGTTTTTTGGATATCCATTTAAGTACGGGTTTAGTTTGGGTAAAACCCATAACTCGAAATACCGTAAAACAAGATTCATTCAGTACTTATGTCGGATTTGAATTTGTTCAGATTTTTTTTTATCGGATCGAATTCGGTTCGAATTTTCAGATTCAGTTTTTTTGCCCAGCCCTACTTCATAGTTTGGCCTCCAATAGCAAACATTATCATAAATGGGCCCATACATTTATCATAACTTTTTTTTTTTTTTTTTTTTTTAAGTCAATTTCATAACTTCTCTAAAAAGGGTGATGACAGGCTTTTGCCGTATTTTACAAATTTCAGATTCCAATGTTCACAAATTTAAATTTTTGGTGAACCATTTGTTGACAAGACCATGTGTTAATGGTATCCTCGTTCTTTTTTTGGGGGTTCACAATCCTCATTGTTCAAATATAATAGTTCTTTGGTTTCAGAATATTTATCATTCTAAACTTAATTTTTTGTCACAAATTAAATGTTTTTTTTAATTGCAAGGCAAAATTTATGAATTTATATAATATTCTATTTTTCTATTGGTTGAAAAATAATTAGATATATAGATAATTATATTTTTATCTTAAAAATACGTAAAACTAAATATTTTTTTAATCTGTGTATAAAAATTTAAAATGACAAATAAAGTAAAACGGAAAGAATACTACTACTATTTTTTACTAGTTACCTTTTGAGTGTTTTTTCCAGAAACTAATGGCAACAATAAACTATTATTTCGGATTATTCCTTTATTATTGATGACTTGATACCTAGATACCTCCCATAGGATAATTAAATGTAGTATTAGGCTTTCAGCTATTGAGAGTCCCTTTTACAAATAAACCGCTAAATATATACAAAGAAAAATAAGAAAACCATAACGTAATTCATTAGGCTTTTTCTACATTCTTCGAACTTCGAAGCTGCTAGGCAGCACTAGGCCTCCACACCAAGATCTGTATCTTTCCAGTAAAAGTTTTTATCCAAAATAAAACAAAAGTTAGGTGACCTAATAAGAGACCTCTTCTTAATAACTCAATTATCACTTTCAGTTTGATTAATCACTTAATTAAGCCTTAACTAACACAACTACTATTATTATTTCCTTGCATGTTTTAAGCTAATGATAGTATACGCTCTCTCTAGTTGTGCCCAAATCTCTTTAGCAATCATTCCTGCTAAAGTTTTTTTGACTGGGAATTCGATTTTAATTTTTTTTATTGAGCTCCATGGAAAATAAAAACATAAACTGAGGGGGTTTACCATTAAATCCGAGAGAGTAAGCTTAACGGTGTGTCTCTCTTCTTCTTCATCACAAACCAGAAACAAAAAAAAATGTCTCAAATGATTCATCAAATCTCACCTGCTCCTCCTCCCATCACCTCGAACCACTCATCTAATAACCGAATAAGCCCAATCCTCCTCTTCATCATCGTCCTCATCTCCGTCGTCTTCTTCCTCTGCAGCATCCTACATTTGACGGTCAAATATTACTTAAAGAAGAAAAGATCTCGACTTTCTTCCTCCCCAACAGATTCCGACCGAAACCCAGAACTCTCCGACTCCGACACTTACCAAAGACAGCTCCAGCAGCTGTTCCATCTCCACGACTCTGGTCTCGATCAAGCCCTAATCGACGCCCTCCCCGTCTTCCTCTACAAGGAGATCAAAGGGTCGAAGGAGCCCTTCGATTGCGCGGTGTGTCTCTGCGAATTTTCCGAAGACGATAAGCTCAGGCTGCTTCCGATCTGCAGCCACGCCTTCCACATCGGTTGTATCGACACGTGGCTCCTCTCGAATTCGACTTGTCCTCTTTGTAGAGGGACCCTTTATCCTCTAGGGCACCAATTCGAAAACCCGGATTTCAATTTCGGGTTTTTCGCAGGAGAGGATGGAGATAGGGTTTCTCCGGGGGAGAAGGCGGTGGAAAGTGATATCATGAGTGGGAAGAGAGTGTTCTCTGTGAGGCTTGGCAAGTTTAGGAGCAGTAATATTAATGTTAGTGAAGAAGGAGGAGGAGGAGGAGGAACAGGAGGAAGGGGAGAGACAAGTGGGTGTGTGAGTGTGAACAGTAGTCTTGATAACAGGAGATGTTTCTCAATGGGGTCTTATCAGTACATAGTGGCGGAATCTGATCTGGTGGTGGCTTTGTGTCCTAATAATAATGAAGGTTTGAAGAATGTGAAAGAGGAAGGAGAGTGTAATAATGTTGAAGGGAAGAAGATTAACATGAGGAGTAAAGGTGAGAGCTTTTCTGTGTCGAAGATTTGGCAATGGTCTAATAAAAGATCAAAGTTTGGAAACCAAGCAGAGACCAATCTGGTGGGTTCTTCTTCTTCTTCTTCATCTTATGCTTGTTCTGCATCTGGTAGTACAGTTGGTCCTGGATTGTCATTGAATGGAAGGAGATTTCAGGGGGCATGAGATGAGAATGGGGGTAGGTACAGATCAAAGGGGTAGGTTATTTTCTGCTGTTGATTTAATTAAATCATTGATTTTTGAGTTTTTGATATTCATTTTGTTAACACTATATACTGTAGTGGTGTGTGTTTGTAGCTGAATCTCTTTGTGTTTGCTGAGGAGAATAAGCTTTGTTCTTTGATCAAGTTATATGTGATGGTTCTTTTAGTCCCCAAGTGCTAATTGAATTAATGTTCATACAAATTTTTAGGAAACGTAATTATGGTTTGTAAAGTTTCCGAGAAGGAACCTCAAAGATTTGCACAAAATTTGATGATTTTGTGAGCTGTATTTTGTCTTTAATGTCCAAACTTTTCAAACAGAGAGAATATCGTTTTTATGGTAAATCATATAATATGAAATAAAATTGGGAAAGAGAAGTCAAAATTTGTATCGTTGGTGGGGTGGGGTTTTAGACTTGTAAAGAGTATCCAAAAATGGGACGGAATCATTATTGGTAGGGATAAATAATGATGGCCCATAATTTGTTATTATGCTCAAAAAAGAGCAATTCAATAAGGAACACTCATGAAGTTACCAATGATCTAAGTCACAGTTTGTCGTCAAAGTTCACATTCATATCCGAGCAAGTGACATAATTACATTGGCCACTAAATTAGCGAATAAAATACAAAACTTTTGGTGGAAAGACGAAGAAGCTGGAACTGTAACATAAATACATCATGCAATCAAATCTCTTTCAAAGTTTTATACACGAGGCAAACTTGTGTGTCTGTCCTCCATAACTTTCCGACTCAAAACATCTGAAATTTTGTTCAAAAAGAAACCCGGAGAATCTCAAATCCCAAACAAAGCCAAAGTTTCAGGAAACGGATGAAAAAAAGTAGGAAGGTAAAAGCTGATTTGCTGCGTCAGCTGCTCGGGCAAGACATATCTTTCTTTCTTTTTTTTTTTTGGAACAGGGATGATGATAATAAATACTCAAAAGTCCTTATGCTGAAAATACAATCAGCCTCACAAGCCGCGAGGGAAGTTGTTGATCTGTGCTTCCTCCAATACATCTTTTCCGTTCAGTTTGTACCCAATCCTCATCCGCATCACAAGAGATTTCTGGCCATATAAACATTATATTGAGTTATCTATAACTCAGTGCTAAAATGAATGTTGAAGACATAAATTTAAGCTCAACAGAGAAAGTGCATATACCTTGCCGTGCTGGCTGTTAGTGACTTTCAGATTCTGCGTGATGTTACCGCTTGCCGGGAGTGTGTTACTGCTTGCTGGATCCAAGTGCAGCTGGAGGAACTGGAGATTTCCCAGAACGAAAGAAAAGGCTAATTATATTTTTTTTTCAAAACTGGATAATAATAGGAAAAAAATGAAAACTAAAATTACCTTTGGAACAGCAGCCTGGAAGATAAAATCTGTGAAAGTATTGGGAGATAGATTTATAAAAGTGGCTTGGACATTTGTTTCTTGTGGGTTCCCTGATGGCTTCGAGAAGGTGAACTCAATCTTCAAGGTGCTGCTCTCGTATGCAACAATAGGTGGGTATGCTGGACCATTGGTTGCTGCAGTTAAGGAGGAAAGCAAGTTATTTATCTTTCATAGAAGAGTGTCAATGACTGTTATATAATCTTTTTCTTACCTTCCTTCGATGGGCTTGGAGAAAGACCATCTAACAAATCAAACATACCACCAGCAGAAGTAGTGGTTGCTATGTGAGGTGGAGCTGGTGAAGAGAGTGTGTCTAGCCCAGTAGAAGGATTATTGTTAATGCCACCTGTTGATAACAAATCAATTGATGATGTGTTGTTTTGTGCCGGAGAAGGTGTTCCAATTGACAGAATATCCAGCAACTGATCTGTGCCACCCAGGGTTGCACCTGAAACATTGCAAGGCCATAGAGGAAAAGAATGTTCATTCGGAGACAATATCATCACTGAGCACACCATAAATGAAAAAAATAAACAGCTTAAGAGAAGCCGAAGAACTAACCAGATTGTGCTGTGGATGATCCTAAGTCAACACTTAGAAGATCCTGAAGGTAATCTGTACCAGATGAACTAGGTGCTGCCAGGATATCGTCAGAACCCAGATCCAGCAAGTCCACAAGCGGAGCCGCAGAGACACCATTTGGAATACTAACTGAAGGTTTGGCCATTGTTGAAACTGAGGCAGGCAAAGAGCCAGACCTCCTCACATTGAACGTAGCCTCATCTAGCACCGGCATTCTCTCAACTAGAGAAGACCTATATGCATAGAGACCTCGCTTTCATGAGATTTGAGGGGGAGAGATTTTTTTTTTAAAATAAGCTAGAAGCTGGATGAGGAAGAGGCAAACAAGGGATATTAACCACCTTATATTTTTATGCCTGTCAACAATAGAATTGAACTCAATAGCTCTCTGCTGCATTTCAAGTAGAAGGCTCCCTTTTTGCTTCACAATTATATCTTTAATCCTCCTGCCATTGAATTTTAGAGAACTGTTTTAATTACCAAATGAGAGCTGCGGACATGAATATACAGGTAAAATGTATTCATAAATAATGTCTCAGAAGGTAGACAGCCAAAATTTCATATACTCAGTATAGATATAAGCTAAACGAGTTAGGATAAAAAAACACACTGAGATTGAAAAAACTCGAACATACTCTGAGATAGAAGGAAAGCGAGATGACAACTTCAGTAGAGCAACCAATGCCATCGCTTTGGTAGTCATGTCTGAGTTATGGCGAGTAATGGCATCCTCGACAACGTCCACTGCATCACTTTCCGTTACCTGACCAAAGCAGTCAACTTGTCATTGCATGTTTTTTTAAGTCAACAAGAAAATCCCAAGAAGCAAGATCATCTAAATATTAAACACAGATAAATAATTAGTAAGATTGGTATGGTAGTGCTCACCGTTATTGGATCTTCAATACCAAGCATCCCCACATTGTTAACCAGCAAATCACCATATTCGCCAATGCACCAAATCGCCACTCGGACAAGGGTCTCCTGAAAATCTCAAACAAACCATATTAGAAAGGATTACACTAATTGAAGAATGAAATCAATCAAACATTAGAAAAATAAGACATACTTGTTCTGAGTATGTCAAGACTGCTTTGTATAATGATCTGACTGTATATCCATGAAGCTCTGATGCATTGCTTATGACAACAATCAGTGCATGCCAGACGTCATCTTTCACAAACTTTCCAGCCTAATAACATGGAATAGGAGTAAGGTTAAGACCAACACAAGAAAAGCAATTAAGCTTAGGCAGATGTCTCGAATTTCAATCCATACCTCAGACAGAACCTTGAGCATCTGATCAATGTACCAGATTTTCTCTGGAGAAAACCTACATTATCGAATTTCTTAACAAATCAACATGAAATCTAATTAAATAGACACTAACATAGAAAGGGGGTAAAGCACGTTCACTTTCTCAAACAAAATACTTACTTTTCAACGATAGAACAAATTTTTGCACTAAGATCCTCCTTAAAATCTTCATCGCTGATTTCCAAATAATCAATCAGCTCCTTTGTTAGTTGTTTGACATTGTTCTCATTTACCAAAAGAGAGACGAGCTCCAGAGCTCTTTTCCGGATGGAAGCATCTGGGTCCTAAATTGTTGATGAAAACAGAAGGCAATTTAATATGTATTCTCTCTCTAAAAAACTATTACATAAAGTTGTCTAAACATATTTTTCTGGTAGTTCTAAAACAATACCTTAACACATTCTAAGATTGTAACTCTGTGCCTTTGCACGGCTTGATCATCAAAAGCGATTGCTTTCATCAGCATGTTTAGTGCAACATATCTGAGAGAACGAGAATATGATATAAGGGGAAATCACCATGTCTGAGAAAACAGGAGTGAGAAAACAAAAAATAAAACGAATATTAAGAAAGAAGCGCTGTTTGATAACAAGAGCGCAATGTGCTTCATAGAGTTAACCAGACAAAACGAGAGACCGAAAAAAAGCAAGCAAACTACTTCTCAACATATAATAAATTGAGGTAGAGTCGAACCTGATATTGTTGTCGCGGTTAGATAAGAATCTTCCCAAGATATTGATAGCAAGTACACGCAAACTACTGGTGTCTTCAATGGCCATGATTGTTTCAACACACTCATAGAGTACGGCATTTCCTGCGTTTTTGTTTGATTCAGTTTTTGTGGCCACCTACAACAGCATGAAACCAACTAAAATAAAGACCTCTCAACGTAACAGAAAGGATCAAGGAACCTGGAAGATTATGTAAACCACAGTAGATCCATGACTTTGAACTGAATAGATTTTAGCAAAGCATGTAACAGAGGCGGTATCAAAAGAGGTAAACTTCAATCCGGCTAAACGTACAGGTAATCTCAGTACTAACAAGTCTCGTATCTATCAAAGAGAATGATATATAACCACCCCTATCAACTAAAGAAACTTATTTCCCACTTATGCTACAGAATCAGTTCCAGCACGTGAGAGGGAATAGCTATCATACACATTTTTCTTCCTATAACATTTCTCCAAAATAAATATTTACTGCAACTGGAAAGAAAAAAAAAGATAAATTTTATGGTTCCTACGGGAATACATTGCAAATGTGAAAATCGTGAGCCCTATCCAGAATCACTTGCTAAATTACGACTAACCTGGGCAAGTATATCAGTCATCAAGTCACTAGCATCAGCGTCACCATGGCCTAAAACACGCAGGAGCTTAAGTAACCGTATGTGAAGAAAAGGATCTGTGATCCCAGCAACATCATACTCAGGCTGGTATGCGCTATTAGTAATATCCCTCAAAGTTTTTATCAGCCCCTCCGTGCATTTCTGTACATACAACAGAAAGACGAGAGAGGAAGTTTAGTGCAGGAGAAATATAGTACATAGACGCATCATACAAGTAAAAGAGTGTGCAGAAGTACGGGTGTTCTGCGAAGAATATTAAACAACAATACGGCAATGTTTCATGTATGCATAAATTGAGTGGTCCAAAGAAACTTATTGAGCTACCTTTCTGAAGAACTCTAGGGCCTCATCACTGATCGTGCATAGTTCATAACAAAGTTGAACTCCTGTTATAAGAACCCCATGATGCTTTTCTTTCAGCAAGGAAGAAGCAGCATTTACAAAGTTCTCAGCAAGATCTGGAACTTTCCTTACTATTCTAGTGGAGCAAAGTGCCGCCTGCATATAATACAACATAAATGGTCAAAGAAATGAAGGAACAAAAACCACAACAAATACTGGTAACTAGTAAATACTTCACCTTCTTACGGATATTAGGGTCACGAAACTGGATCAATCTTTCTACTTCTGGCGCAAGATCACGAGCCATTTCTGCAGAACAGATATTCCCTAAAGCACAAAGCGCGAGCCCTACAACATACTGGTTCGTGTGGTTAAGATCTCTGCACGTGAGTTAAGGCTAAAACAGAAACAAATCTACCACCATATCCTCCCCTACTGAATTATCATCACATCCAATGCAACCCTATTAAAATCAAAACTAAAGGATACTGTTTTAATGAATTCGTGACGAGCATCAACACTTCCTGTCTCTCATCAAGAAGCAACATGAGCCCAAGATAACCAATCCTCTTCTCTGGGAACCCAGGAGACGCAATAAGCTTCAAGCACTCCATCTGCCCAAAGTGCGTAGGGTAACCAAGCATGTGTATGAACATGAGCTTCGCGAGGTTCCTGTGCCTATCATGCGGATCATTCTCATTAATCGATGCTCTTATATCAGCACACTCTTTCCTCACAACACCACGCTCCTCCGCAGCTGTTTTGCACGCTCTTATGGATCTGATCATGTCCCTGAAAATCAAATCAAATCAAAAATCCACAAATCATACAATTACGCAATTCTCAAACTCATCTAACTTCTAATCAAATCAAAAATCATTAAATGAACGAGCTCGATTTCTTTCAAATCCTTCTCTTACTTGTTTATGTTTATATCAAATGCATCGTTACTGAAACAGAAAGAGGATCCAAATTACCTTAGACGAGTACCGGAGAAAATCGAATTCATGATTGGGTGTGGAAGAGGTGGACCTTCGCCCGCCGGCAACTTTTCGGAAGAAGAATCTTCAAATCAAGTTCTCCGCCGGATCCGTTACCGGAGCTCCGACTATCTGATCAAAGACGAGAGATCAAAACGAAACTGAGATTTGGATCTCGATGAACAAAACGATCCTCGTTTTCTTCTTTTTTTTTTGTATAATAACATCACTTTAATTCACATTAGAACGGCCTCGTTTCGTCAACAGTCATAAAACAAACCGGGCCGTTATTGGGCCGTTATTGGGCCATTTAAATATAATTGGTTTTTCCCAAATTCTCTTCCCTACACTCCACCACAGATGATTAATTTTCTCCCCCAATTACACGAAGAAGAAGTGGGGGACACTCTTTAGTAAAGGAATGAACTTTAAAGATGCTATGACGCAACATTAAGTAAGAGAGAAACACACAGTCGCTTTCTCAAACCCCTACTTCGAATTCCGACATGGCTTGGTCGTTTTCGTCCTTGTTTCTTTTCTCCTTCCTCGTTTTCAATCTCGGTAAGTGTTCATTTCATATAACTGCTTTCTGAGGTGGTTTTTGATTCTGTCTAATATTACAGTCGAGAGTAAGCCTATTTTGGAAGATGGGTACGAGGTTACTACAGTGGTTGATGGTCACAAATCTGGTCTGAATCCACACACGGTTCATGCTCTACCAGGATCTTCTAATATGATCGTTCTTGATTCTTCTGGAAGCACGTTCTACACTACTTCTTTTCCTCTGTCCGTTGGTAAGTAAACTCACACAAAAGCCAACCACTTTTTGTATCAAATCTATGTTTTTGTATTAGGGTTTGATTGTGTGTGTATGAAAGTCTTGAACTTTACTATCTTTTAAGTGAAGATTTTCAGATGTGTGTGTGTGTGCGTGTTTGTGCAGATAGTGTGATAAACCGGTTTGCTGGGGATGGGAATTCCGGTTATTTAGATGGTAAAGCTGGTAACAGCCGGTTCAGCAAGCCTCGTGGTTTCGCTGTGGATGCTAAAGGGAATGTTTATGTTGCTGATAAGAACAATAAAGCTATACGCAAGATCAGCTCTTCAGGTGTTTTAATCAATTTGTACTTGTGGCCCCCTTTGTTTTAGTGCTCTTTTGGTTGAACAATATATATATTTTTAATCTTTTGTTTGAATGGATTTTGTAGGTTATGTAACCACCATTGCTGGAGGAATCTCAAATGAGTTTGGACATAGAGACGGACCAGCACAGAATGCAACTTTCTCTAGTGATTTCGATATAACTTTTGTTCCTCAAAGATGTTGTTTGCTTGTTTCTGATCATGGAAACGAAATGATCCGTCAGATTAATCTAAAAGAGGAGGATTGCCTTGAGAGTTCTCATACTAGTATGCTTGTTTATTTTCCAGTAATAGTTTGATACACTCTGCTTATAGAAACTTTAATGATTTCTTCTTTTGATGTTTTTAGATTTGGGGACATACTCTCTTTGGTCAATAGGGATTGCCCTTTCATGCTTTCTCGGTGTAGCCATTGGCTTTGCTGCTCGTCCTTACATCATTCGTCATGTAAGTTTATATTTTTTAGCTGTCATTACGTTGACTGGATGAACTTTATATTGAGATGTCTTAACCAAATCGTTATAGACAGGAAGAAGTGAACCACCTCTCGTTCATCGCGACATGGAAGCTTCTCCTAATCAAATTGGGGGATCAAGTTCGGACCTTCTTCTCCTACACTAGAAACCTAGTTGCTGAATCAACCGTTTCTTCTCTACTAAGTAGACTAGTTATGATGATCGTGTCTCACCTTTCCCTTATGTATTCCGCAATAAGTAGATTAGTATGGTCGATGGTATCTCCCCTTTTCTTCATGTGTCAGTCCAACAATGTAGCTGTTTTAGACAAGACAGTCTCTTTGCCTGATCCGGAAACCACAAGTCAATCACAGCCGCAGCTTTCTATGAAACCCTCTGATGATCTGATGGACCTGATTACGTTTGATGATGCTGTAGAAACTAATAATGGAGAAGAGCGGACTGATCAGGAAACTGTCACTGTTACATCTTTTGTAAATGTTGTGTTCTAGGAATTACATCTTTTATGGAAGTTCTCATCTTTTCTTTTATATCACGGAATAATAACTAAAGTTTGCTACCTTTTCTTACAAGAAAGATCTAAATACCCAAAATGTTAATAAATATCAAAACCCACCTGTACCCAAAGCTACAATGCTCCTCTCTTACTCAGCTTCTCATGTATAGGAATAGTAACCATATGGGTAACTTACAGTGTGTGCTCCGTAATGGGGATTCTGGTGGCTATTCATCTGATCTCCATACTCCGTAGGCTTAGCAGTACCTGCTTCTGCTGCCACTTGCCTCTGGTATTGCTCCTGGACCGATCCAAATACAACCTCATTAGTCTTCTCACTGATCCTCTCATAATGAGTGGGTGGGATCGTTGAGTGATGCCTACGGTGATGCTGCTTATGCCTATGCTTCTGTTGTTGCTGCTCCTGGCGGAATTCAGGGTCCAAGCTTCTGAACAAGGCACGGCTCTGACGAAGCTTTTCGATACTCTCTGCGTCTTTGGACATGAAAGGGTAAGTCTTTTTGGGAGTGAAGTTTCTCGTCTCGACGGGGGGTGGTTCGTCTTTGTTGTGTATCACGAAGCTCTCTTGAACTGGCCATGGAGCTGTGCTATAAGCAGAAGAATGATTTGTTTCTTGGTGAGTGAAGCTGAAGCTTACTGTCTGCTTCTTTTTGAGACCGAATAGCTCCGCTAAAAACAACCGAGCATTCGACATGAATACCTGGAACGGCACCAGGAAGCTTTCTTCTTGCTGCTCCTGCTCATCTCTGGTTTGAATCAGAGGTGGTCTGGCTGGTTTCAAAGGCTTTTGATCAGGAACAGCTTTGTATATATCTTGATCCTATGTGAAACACAACAGCCAGAAACGTTGGTTATAGCAAATATATAGTAGAAGAAGCAGAAGATGGTAAGGTATACGACGTTAGGATGCGATTGGGACACTTACAGTGTGATATGAAAGGATAGAACCAAGCCTGCGTTGCAATAGAGCCAGCATATAACCAAAGAAGCCAGCTGCTATAAGAACCGCAACTCCTGCAACATTTTTATTTAAAACCATTGAGTTCAGAGATGTAAGATGATTCAGGAAGGGAAGGAGACAACAAAAACATACCAAGAGGAAAGCCACTTTCATAATGATAGGCACAGTCATCGAAATGGAGTTGGATCTCTCTAATAGCTCGGTTTCCACGGTCAACAACCAGCAAAGAACAGCTGCTTCCAACATAAACAACATCGAAATCATTTGAGAACTTTGCATCTTCACTCGGACCATCCACATGACCTCCTCCCCCACGAACCATTTTCCCCCCAGCAATGGTTGTGACTCCTGCTATCACAATAAAATCTGAGATAAACCAAGCAAACACTTACCCCAAGGGTAACCACAAAACATCAGGGAACAAATACCTGCTTCACTGATCTTCCTGATAGCATTATTCACAGTATCTGCAACATAGATATTCCCTCTATCATCCACCGTAAGCCCTTTTGGATTGTTCAACCTCGCGTCTCTTAATCTACCGTCCACATGACCTGGATATCCTTCAGGTGAGCCAGTAACAAGCCTCGGTCTGCTATCTGCCATTATGCAAATGTTAATGCTGCAGTTAAAAGCATTGACTTGTACTCTTGACCATCTGATAACAGTCCCCATTAAATCCATAAACAAAAGAAACGACAAAGAACCAGCAAAATCTCCTGATTTTCAACGTATTGCCATATACAGCAATAAGTAAAAGTCCATGTGCAACAGTGTCCAGCGATTAGGTAAGAAAAATAGTATCTTTTCCTTCCCACGTGAAAGGTAAAGAAAAAAATACATGATTCCCATCCGTATACACAATCCTTAACACGATCATCAAATATTAGAATCCACGTCATTTCATCAAATATTCAAATGACACACAAACCCAAGTTTTGAAATCGGAAAAAGTTGGAAGCTTTGATGGTGGAAACACTTACATAGGGAAAGAGAAGATGAAATCTTGTAAACGTTACTATTCTCAGAATCAAGAATAAGCAGCTCGCCGTTAGGCAAGACCTGGAGAGAGTAAGGTTCGATACCGAGTTTGCTTCCGTCTAAAACCGTTTCCACTGAATACCCATTTTCGAATTTCACCATCGACTTCGTAGAAACCGCTGATTCGAAGAAGAAAAGTTAGATAAAATCCAAAACTTTAATCAGTGAGTAGTTTTCGAAAACCTGTTTTGGAGGTGGTTTTGAAAGACCATAGCCATTTCATGAGGGAAGTTCCGTGATTTGAGATGAACCCACTAACAATCTCTGTAGAAAGGAGATGAATAACGTGAGTGAAGATCGAAACCCAGATCAAAAAACAGAGTCTTTGTTAAAGAAAAAAAAACAGAGTGAGACTAACTCGCTGGTGAAGTTGATGAAGGAGCTGAAGCTACAAACCCAGAGAGGAGGAGGAGAATGATGATGATACCCAGAAACAGAAAGTAATCCCTTTTCATTACTTTTAGTTTCGGGAGAGACGAAGAGCTAAAACCCTAGTTCATATCTAAAGAAACAGAGAACAATGTGAAGAAGAAAGAGTGTGCTTGCGATGGTGAAGAGCAAATGGTTGTCAAAAGGAAACAGTGATGGTGTAAATGGAGAAGGAAGTAGGGACAATTTGTGAGGAAGGAAGGAGAAAAGGTTGAAGAGAGAGAGAGGGGTACACAACAAAAAAGAGAGAGACGTAGACGACGGACACACGTGTCATGTCAACAAACGTCGGCACAACAGCTTTTTTTAATGCCAAAGATTTTTTTAGCAGCATGACATTGTAACAAACGTCCAAAGGAGAGTATTATCTGTTAGTGTGATAGAAAAATATGTGATTGGTCACACGATTAGTCAGTTTGTGACAGTATATATATGTCACTTGTTTACAAGGAATTACAATCAAAACTTGTCCATTTCGTTACTCCGTTCCGTGTAAATACAACTATACACAGAGTGAAAACAACAGGGGGGAGAGGTACAAGAAAACACCTTCTCACCAAGCTTGGAAGAATAAAAATAAATCACACAGATGACAAGTCCCATGTTAGCCTTCTTCATATACACAACCCTAATCCATGATCTTTCCAATTCAGTCACATGTTGGTTTTGGTTACTCACACTGACTTCTTTTCTTGTTATCAGATGATGCTCTCAAACGCCACATGTTTATGTGAGGAGGAGGAGGATTCTTGTTGATGCTCAGGCTTTGAGCTGCTTGAGGCAGCAGCAAGTCCTGCTAGTAGCTTCAATACGTCAGAGACATCATCTAAGAAGTACTTGGCTTTACTTGGCTTTCTTCCCACAGTGCAGGCAAAGATATCTGGTCGCATTGGGAGGTCAGGGTTTGTCACTGTGCTTAATATGCTCTCAAACATGTCCTCGTCTGATCTATCATCTCCTATACACATCACCATGTCAGGTGAGTTTCCGTTCTCTACCATTCGGTGTATGACCTTCTCCACCGCTAGGCCTTTGCTTACTCCCTGCATCAACAAGAATAACAGATTCAATCACATAAGTACTTGTTTACAAGCAAAGAAAGGAGTGAAATGGATCTCTTTTTCTACCTGTGGTTTGACCTCTACGATGTGTTGGCCTCTCTTGACGACAACGGGCTCGTTTGCAAGCACACTCTCTAGATGATCCAGAAGCTCCTTCGCTTGGCAGGATCCAAAGTCTGGATCCGCATCTTGATGATGCCAAACCAAAGCACTCTCTTTGAACTCTATAGTGGAACCATCAGTTGCGTCCATGTATGATCTCATTACTGGTTCCACCATTGTCTTCCACTCCACGTCACCTGATGAGCAACAATTCTCCCACTCTTTCTTGCTACTCCACCTGCATCCAAATACAAACGGGTCTTAGTTTTCAACTTCTATTAGAACCCTTAACTGAGAAAACCACTTTATGTGATCATCATGCATATACCTTATGAAGTATCCATGTTCAGCTGCTATTCCAAGATTTTCACAAGGAGATAGCCAATCGCTCAGAGACTCCCAACCTCTGCCACTGACGATAAACACAGTGTTTTTAGGATCTTCACACAGAGATTTCAGAACAGAGAGGACTTCAGCACTAGGGGTTTTGACAATAGAGCTCTCAGGAACAAGAGTGCCATCATAGTCCAAAAATATTGCTCTTCTCTCTGTGTTTCTATACGTTGAGACTATGTGATCAACAGATAGCTTCCTAAAACTCGGAGACAGGGACAAAACTCTGAAACTCAGTCCAAACCCAATACCCCAACAACGTTTATTATAATGTTCCTGGCACGCCCTCTCCAGATCCTGCACAAAGCTTTTCGCCCAATAACCCACATCATGAGTACTAACATAGTGATAGTGTTTCTCATGCCTCAACCTCTTTTCAGCCTCACTCATCTTGAGGGATAAGTTAACCGCTTCTGCAACAGCATCAACATCCCATGGGTTCACCCTGATGGCGCCACTCAAAGAAGGCGAGCAGCCAATAAACTCAGAGACCACAAGCATACTTGTCCGTGGTGAATCATGGCTAATTCCCATGGCCTTATCCATACCTGGTGTCCCTTGCCTGCAGATAATATATTTATAAGGAACTAAGTTCATGCCGTCTCTTACTGCATTCACAAGGCAGCAGTCTGCCATGGCATAATAGGCAGTCTTTTCATAACGTGGAACCAGACGATCAATCAAGATAACTGGCTGATATCCAGGGGAACCATAACGCTCATTGATCCTTTTAGCAGTTACATAAGTCTCCTTTTTTGCTTCTTCCACATCCTTACCCGAGGCGCGTGCTGGGTTCACTATCTGAATCAGAACAACTTTACCACACATATGCCAATACGTCTCAAAGAGACGCTCCATGGCTATAAGTTTGAGGCTTATGCCTTTAAAGATGTCCATGTCATCGACACCGAGAATCAACTTCTTCCCCTTAAACTGTTCTTGAATCTCTTTCATTTTCGCTGCAGTGGAGGGGAGGTTCAAAACAGACTCAAGCCTACCCATATGGATACCAACAGGAAGAATCTTGATAAATACCGTCCTACCAAAGTAATCAAGCCCAATGTGGCCACGTTTAGATTCATAATCAAGACCAAGCATTCTACTGCAGCACGACAAAAAATGGCGTGCGTAATCAAACGTGTGGAAGCCAATAAGATCACAGTTCAGCAAGCCTCTCAGAAGGTCATCACGGACCGGCAAAGTGCGGTAGATTTCTGATGAAGGAAAGGGACTGTGAAGGAAGAAACCGAGTTTGATCCTGTTGAAACGCTTCCTCAAGAACGTGGGAAGAACCATGAGATGATAATCTTGAATCCAAACGTAATCTTCCTCAGGGTTGATGACTTCCATCACCCTGTCTGAGAATATCTTGTTGGCGGAAACATAAGCTCGCCATAGAAGCCTGTCGAAACGATCTCCGTGGTCAGGGAACATGGGAAGCATATAGTGAAAGAGCGGCCACAGGTGGTGTTTACAGAAGCCATGATAGAACTTCTCTTGCATCTCCTTTGGTAAAAACGTGGGAACACAGTTGAAATCCGACAGAAGCTTATGAGAAACTGCTTCTTGCTCACTCGTGGTAATATCAGCATTGAGTGATCCTATATAAACAAACTCTGTATCAGGAGGAAACCCATCTCTGAGCTGGATGAGGAGAGAGTCTTCGTCCCAGGTAAAGCACCACTGTCCAGTCTCTGTGTCTCTCTTGGCTTGTAGAGGTAACATGTTAGCCACAATAATCTTGCGCTCGTGGGAGCTAGTGGAGGAATTAACATCGCCATAGTCCCCTTCGAGGTCAGAGACTATACCAGGAACAGTCATGACACGTGGAAGAGATCTCTGAGTTTGAGGGAAGTCTAATGAGTCCCAAGATGATAAGTCTAGAAAATTAGCACAAGATCTTGACACCATGGAGAAAGCAATGCGACAAGAGAGTTGTGTGTGGCAGAGCAAACACACGTCTAACGGTCAAAACAAACCTGAGAACAAACAAAAAAAGGAAACAAACCAAAATTTACTCTTAACCTCACCAAAACCTTACAACAAGACAGAGAGTCTATGTAATCGCCAAAACATGTAAAAAGTGATAACTTCAGAAAAAAAAACTATATTTTAGCAACAAACAAGCTAAGCTAAACAGACCAACCAAAGGCCAAATCAAGTCCAAAGTTTTGATCTTTACCACATACCGATCGCAAAACAAGAGCTAAGGTTAGGAATGAACAAAACCAAACGAAAAAAAAAGGTGGGTTCTTTGCTGCTACTGACCTTTCTAATCCCCGGTGGAAAGAAAAACACAACTCTTCGTGGAAGCGATGAATGAACAAACAAAAAGGTTACGATAAGGACTTAAGAAATTTGTAAACTTGAGATAATATTGTAAACTCTCAACTTGAATTATCTTTAACGATATACAAGAGTATTTATATAAACAAAGACATAAACGGACTCTTCGACTCTTCCTTAAGTAAATAGGAAGTTTAACAAATATTAAGGAGATAATGGGGTTGGTTAAACTGTAGATTTAAAAATTTTACCGTAGAATTTAGATTGTAGATGTTTTTGATGTAGTTGTATCTAATGTATCTGTAGAAATTAAATGAAAAAAAAATATAAAAGGAAAATATTCCTACAACAATCCTACAGCAATAATTTTTTGCTTTAGAAAATAAGGTTCCTGCAACCACTTTTCCATTTTTTTGATTTTAGCTTTAAAAACTACTTAAATCATGATTGGTGATTTAAATGGTTGTAGATAGAAATTAAAGCTAAAATCATTACTTACAACCCAACCAATCACCTTCAATGATAAATGGAAAGCTAATCCTTATCAATAGGATTCCCTTCCCTAATACTCCCCCTCAAGTTGGAGTGTGAAAATCTAAAACACCCAACTTGGACGAAAGAAACTGGGATCGCCCAAGAGCCTTTGTTAGTATGTCAGCAATCTGATCCTTGGTCTTGACATGAGTAGTGGAGATAAGACCAGCTTTCACTGCATTACGAACACTGTGGCAATCACGTTCAATACGTTTGGTGCGTTCATGGAACACTGGATTAGCTGCGATATGTATGGCAGCCTTATTATCACAGTAGAATGCCACTGGTATCTTGAGTTTGACGCCCAAATCCTGTAGAAGTGGGACAATCCATTTGATTTCCTTAGTTGCAGATGCCATGGCCCTATACTCGGTTTCAGCAGAAGACATTGACACGGTGTCTTGTTTCTTCGTTTTCCAAAGAATTGGTGAATCACCAAGGAAGACGACGTACACACTGAGTGAACGACGACTCTCTGGACAAGTACTCCAGTCCGCGTCCACATACACAGACAGATCGAGGTTGTTATCAGACCTAAGGAGTAAACCATGGCCTGGACATCCCTTGAGGAACCGAACAACACGAAGAGCCGCTGTCCAATGTGCCTCTCGAGGTTTGTGCATGAACTGGGACAGCAGATGAATGGTGTAACAAAGGTCAGGTCGAGTGACAGCAATGTAAACAAGACGACCCACGAGCCTGCGATATTTCTTAGGATCGGCTAAGAATGGACTCTCATCAGACGCAAGATTATGGTACTGCTCGAGTGGGATAGAAACTAGTTTACACCCTAGTAATCATGTATCCGCAATAATATCCAACGCATACTTTCTTTGAGAAATAAAAATACCTTCTTCTGCTCTAGCAACCTCAATCCCCAAGAAGTATTTAAGTTTACCAAGATCTTTCATCTTGAAGCATGTAGACAAGTAAGATTTGAATTTTGTGAGAAGATCCAGTTCATTACTTGCGAGAACTAGATCATCGACGTATATGAGAACTCGCAACTCCTTGTTGTCTTGACTGTATGTGAATAGGGAGTAATCGGAATAAGATTGCTCAAAGCCATATGCCGTCAATGACTTGGTGAGTTTCTCATTCCAACAACGAGGAGCTTGACGGAGACCATACAAGGATTTCTAAAGGCGATAGACTTTGGTAGGGTCACCATGGAGAAACGCGTTGTGCACATCCATTTGGTGAATTTCCCAACCTTTAGCAGCCACAAGAGAGAGAAGACCTCGAATCGTAGCCATTTTAACCACTGGGGCAAAGGTGTCTTTAAAATCATCACCCGCAACTTGCTTATTACCCATTGCAACAAGACGAGCCTTAGGTCGTTCGACCGTACCGTCAGCGTTAAACTTATATTTATAAATCCACCGTGAACCAATTGCTTTCTTTCCAGGTGGGAGTGAAACGATATCCCATGTGCCACTATCCTCATGTGCTACGACTTCTTGTTTCATCGCGCCACGCCAAACCGTCTCTTTAGCAGCCTGCGAATAATATTTTGGCTCGACAGCCGCAGTGAAAGCTGCAAGAAATGCACGATGCGACAGAGAGAACTTTTCATCAGATATGAAATCAGTGAGTGGATATAACGATGTACCTTGGATTGTTTCAGAAGTCGATGATTGAGAACAGTGAAGAGCGAGAGGGGGGTCTTGAAGGCTACTCGCGTTATAGGTGACATAATCTTGCAGCTTCACTGAAGGAACCCGAGAACGTTGACCTCGACCCAACACTTCTTCCATAGGTACTTCCGACGATGGTGACACGTTATTGACTGGAGGTTCAGTGACCAGTGGAGCCGTAGGACTGGACGTATCGAGAGACGACTCCTCTATTGGAACTGAAGGAGACACATTGTTATCAGATAGAGACTGTTCAGCAGTTGCAGGAACCTGAGGTGTATGATCAACCACGGCTTCAGCACCAGAGAAATTATCAGGAGATGGTACTGAGACGTCAACAGTAGAGGATGAGTGTGGATCAAGTAACGAGCTCCCCCTGTCATCGGACGAGGAACTATTAAGAGCCGGACTTGGTATTAAAAGATCAGCATCAAACGGTGTCTCCACGGAAGGTTTGACTGTAGGGTTTGGTTGAGCAGAGAATGGGAATATGTTCTCTTGAAAGACAACATCCCGGGATATCAAGACTTTCTCTGTGGTTAAATCATATACTTTCCAACCCTTTTGACCGTGTGGTTAGCCAACAAAAATACAACGTCGACTGCGTTTCCCAAACTTATCTTTGTCTCGGGAACGATGATGAACAAAACACAAACTGCCGAATACTCGTAGTTGCGAATAGTTAGGCTTCTCCTGAAAGAGAATCTTATATGGAGATCGATTACGAAGAACTGCAGACGGCGTACGGTTAATTAAGTGTGTTGCAGTCATGATGGCTTCACCCCAAAAATTGATTGGGAGATTACTCTGAAACAAAAGTGATCGAGCTACATTAAGGATGTGTCAATGTTTCCTTTCGACTCTTCCATTCTGCTGAGGGGTGGCAACGCACGAAGTTTGGTGTAAGATCCCGTTCTCGCGAAAGAATCTTGCTAAACACATGAACTCAGTCCCGTTATCACTACGGACCGTCTTGACATCTTTAGAGAATTGCTTAGTAGTCATACGAATGGAATTTTGCAGCACCGTCTGTACTTCGGACTTCTCAAGAAGTAAGTAAGTCCATACCGACCTTGAAAAATCATCAACAATTATCAGGAAATAAACTGCTCCAGTAGAAGATCTAGTACGATATGGTCCCCAGACGTCACAATGAATAAGCTGAAAATACTCTTGAGTTTTATTCAAACTTTCATAAAAAAACTTTTCTAGTTTGCTTAGCCTCAAAAAAATGTCACATTGACTGGGAGGAGTAAGCTTATTAAACTCAAAAAACATAGGTAAATGCGGTAAGACTGAAAACGAAGGATGTCTTAGCCGTTGGTGCCAAAGAAACTGATCTGGCGACTTGGTAACTTTCTCAGAAATTTGAACACGAGCAGCCATTACATCCTTAAAGAAATAAACCCCATCTCTCTCTTCACCTGCTCCAATCAGCGTCCTCGTGAAATGATCCTGTAAAACACACAGTGTATCCGTTAGTAGAGCAAAACAGTTTTTCTGCCGAAGGAGTTTTGAGACAGAGATCAGGGAACAGTTCAGGTTTGGGACATATAGAACATCAGTAAGTGTGATGTTATTGGACAAGCGAAATACGCCGGTATTAGTCGCATAGGTTTTGTTTCCATCTGCAACCACCGGACAAGGACGTATACTTGTAACTTCTTTTAAAAAAGAGAGTTCTCCAGTCATGTGGTGAGATGCTCCCTTATCCAAAATAAGGTCACCAAACTGCTTACCAGTAAGCCTATCCGAAGACTTTGCTTTATCAGTGACCATTTGAGCTAAGACACTCCATTGCTCGTCGGTGATTGCTGGAAAGACTGAAGAGTTTGAAGAAGTCGCATGAGCGTTCTGAACTCGAGGTGTGCTGTTTTTGGTACGATCTGACGTGTTGCTCCCACGACCGCGACCTCCGCGTCCTCTTCTACTATCTCCTCTGGTAGGTGGAGTTTCTTCCCACCAATCGGGAAACCCGACAAGCTGCCAACAGTTGGCTTTCTCATGCCCGCCCACAGTGCAAGCATGTGGGGATACGTCGCGACTGACCAGAACTTGAAGATTCTGGTGATTCTTTCTTCGCCACAAACCCTACTGTACTATTATGAGTTTCACGCTCCTTTGTTGTTGTAATTCGTTGTTCTTCACGGACTATCTTCGCGTATGCCTCACCAAGATCAACCGGTGTGTCTGACGAGATGATACTTTGACAAACTGCACCAAAGCGAGATTCATCTAATCCCATCACGAACTGGTGTAACTTCTCCTCTTCACGTTCAGTCTCATAATCAGTAGCTGCACTACAACTACATGCTGGAAGGGGTTTCAAAGTATCTAGCTCCTCCCAAAGTTTAGCCAGGCGACCAAAGTACTCCATCACCGGCTGTCCATCTTGTCTACACGACGCCAGTCGCTCTTTTAGATGATGCACACGAACTTTGTTTCCGACAGAGAAACGCTTTTTCAAATTCTCCCATAGCTTTCGAGCATCCGAGATAAACGTTACTGTAAAACGAACACGAGCTTCAATGGAGGAACGTATCCAACCGACAATCATCCAACTGACGGATACCCAAAGCTCATAACTCGGGTCTGTTATCGAAGGTTTTGGTATGGAGCCATCGATAAACCCTAACTTCCTTTTAGCTCTAAGTGCATTGGTGAGTTCCATAGACCATTCGTTGTAGTTCTCTCCAGTGAAGATCACAGATGTAATCACTGACCCTGGGTTATCAGAAGAAAACAAGGTATACGGCCCCTACACCTTCGAGGTTACAGCTTGCTCGACTTGACTTGTCGAAGTCTTTGTTGCAGAAGAATCGTCTTCTCTAGACATGACTTATATCTTTGATCTCGATCAAAGAAAATAACACACGATGAATTAGGTCACATAAATCTTAATGCTCTGGTACCATGTAAACTTGAGATAATATTGTAAATTCTCAACTTGAATTACAGTAAAACCTCTATAAACTAATAATGTTGGGA